GAATCAGTCCAGTCATCACCCGAAGACGATTGTAGATACTAACAATCGAAACGTCGTGAACTAACGTGGCTTGGAATCTCTTAACTTTTTATTTACATTAATTTGTATTTCTTTATTTTTTGGTTCAATCGTTTTATTATTTTTACTTGTATTTAGGGGAGGAGAAACCACAATCCTCTCAATATATGGGGAACTTGGGGTCTGGCCTATGGAGTCTAGTTACAAGGACGGGCCTAGACAAGGAACTCTAGCATACATGAGGGCACACACAATAGGCCTGCAAAGGTCGCAGTGTAGTGGTTGTTCAGCACAAAAGCCCCATATTAATCTAATCTAATCTACTAACTAAAGGGATTATTCAGTAGTTTATATTACGCGTGATGAACTTTTTAGTTTGTTTATTACACCTCAGCAAATTCTATATCGATTTGAATTTGTTCATTTTCAAGGTTGTGGCAGAGTGAGAAGACAGTTGAATCAAATATTTAAGAACGAATCTTCATTCGATTATAATTATATCCTGATAATCATACACAAGGTCGAACATAGTTTTTTTAATGGCCATAACATCTCGTGTATCAAAAACCGTAATCAACTTTGAAATAATAATTGCACAAACTTGATCCTCACTCTTTCGCCAAGTGATATCAGTAAACGTGATATTAGGAAATACCAATTATCAAAAACTAAATTTGTAAACGAGTTCTAAACAGGGAGAGTCTAAGAGAAGCTTTGTTTGATATATAATGCAATATATTTTAAAGAATTTATCAATTGGATTCCAAGTACATTTTATTTTCAATAGAAAACTGTGTTACAAAAAAATATTATACTGCCTAATTTACTTATTGTACCTCAGATGAGATCAAATATATCTACGACATGTCGGTTCAAATTATAAGAATGATCAGACGATAGTGTCAAAACTATTTTCCGTATTTTTTGGCCGTGGACTGCAGGTTTTTATACCTAACGTTTCGTCTACTACTGCGGTAGACATTATAAAAAGCGACGAGGTGGAGATCGAATTGCTCGAGTAGTTCCCAACGCAGATATTACAATTAAGCCCCAGCACTCAGTAATTGGTTTTACAAGTTCCACCTGTTACCGCTTCAACTATTAACTTTATGGTCTTTTGGTAAGCTACATGGCGGAAAGGCTTCGAGACTTTTAGTATCTTCATCTTGAATATTACCGGAGTTTTTTCCCAACTCCAAACCCCAACTTCAAGAGGAAGATCAAACTGATCTTACTCTTGAAGATGATCACTTGGTGATCGAAACACGTGTCAAGATGTTGAAAAGGTTTGGTGTTGGAAAAAACTCCAGTAATATTGTCTCCAAGACTGAGTGAACGAATAAGAAGATTCCAGTGTCACTGTTTTTCGAGTTTGAAAGCCGTGGATTCGTTTTCCTGAAAATCCTGAAGGTCGTATCCTGACTGAGTCTTTTATATGTCCCTGGATCGAGTAAAGCGACAATTTACCTTCAGACCACGGCCAAAAAATCCGGAAAATACAAAATGATCAAGGCTTTCGCGGCCGAGGTTTTCCCAGGAAGAAATTTCAAAAATCGACGGCCTCCACACCCGAATAAAAACCTGGAAAAGAGTTTTAACACAGTGATCCCCGGCCGTGTAAAGTTACCGTTTTCAATCAGATGATCCTCTATAATGTCAATAACATGTTGAAGGACATTGGGTCAATTTTGCCAGGGACTGCCAAATGGAAAGATCCAGCCAGTGCCTTCCAAAAGGAAGAAACACATTCCGAAAAAATATTTCGAAAACACTCTATTTTACACTACATAATAATATTATTATTATTACAGTATTATTCTTATACTTTCGTATAAAAATATTTACTTCTGACTGCAGAAGAGACATCACCATAAGCAACTTCAACCAACGAACCAATGGCCACCATTTTGTTTGTATTCTGTCTTAGACAACCTACTTTCAATTTTGAACTAAAATTGCTTGAATTCTGTTTTGACGATGAACGATAAACATATTTGTTTCACAATATCTAGCTTACTACTATTTAATTATGTGTTCAGCAAGTCTTCCGAAAACTCCTTCGATCAGTTATATAAGCCCAAATATTGACAAGGACGTCAAGAAAACTGTACTGCTGTTATGCGAAGTCGAAAATCTAGGTGACCACGTCGTACTGTGGAATAAAGTTGACAAAAACCAGGACTCTCAAGACTTACTCATCTCTAACGGAAGCTCTCTAATATCATCCGATCCAAGATTTTCTCTGAGGCATGAACCTGTAAGTGAACTGACTAGATGAAATATTAACTTTGCGTATTAGAATTAGAACCTCTGGCTTAACATTACTGTAGCAAAAATACTTTGACTAGCATTTAATGTATTTCATTAGTTTCTAAGTGTTCCAAAAATCCGAGAGCTATGGATTTCGAAAAATATTTTCAGAATCAATAGTCTAGATGATTAAGTCAGGCTAAACTCGATGCATTAACGAACCCAGGAGTGACTGGTCTGAGAATATAGTGAAGAACTGAAAAAACTGGCTGACCGTAGTAAATTGGATGCCACGGCAGAAGGAAATAACAGGCAACTGAGAAGCGGATGACCTCATCATTAGCTGGAGGAATACCAAAATCTATGGAGGAGTACCAAAATCAGAAATGTGCCAACAAGCAAGTACTACAAAAATACCTTTGGGAACACGCCCGGAATATCCTTTACAAAAGAACAGATTAGAAAAAAAGAACTGAGAGGACTCCTATTAACGGAAACACATGCCAGCAATGCAACAAAGATCCAGAAACAACTCATCAATTTTTATGCGAAAATCAGGCTGTAGATCACAGGAAGCCATCAATTTATAACAAAAATCCAACAAGAGACTTGCACAAACGTACAGGGAACAATATTGATGGAAAGCACAAAGGCACGGCAATGGAAAGTCCACTGTCTCCCTTCGTGTATTTTAATGAAAAGATTTGAATGGAAAGCAAGAGTAAACTCAGGTTAATACCAACTGATTTGAATCTTACATGTAGATGATGTATTTGCCATCTTTGATTCAAAGAAAAATAAACTAGAGGTCTTCGGCCCACAGATTTTGGTGTGTTCACCTACAGAGAATAACATTACCTTCCCAGCAGAGTTTACAATAAAAAAGGTGAAAGATAGTCGATGAGTTGACCAAGATATGTTAATTTGAAGGATACACTAATGAATTGGATCTTCAGAAAACTGATTTTGAAAATAGCTTTCAAAACTAATTGCTCGCTTCACAAATTGTTATATAACCCGAGTATGACAACATGATGAAAACTGAAAACCTACAAGGACTTCGCAATGATGTATGATGTATCAGCGATCGTTTCAAACTATAACAGGCACATATCCAATTCCCTTAACCAGAAAAGTCTAGTGTCGATAAACGAACTGGCAATCAACATTTGTTGACTAATAAGAAAATATTCTCCACTTCTCTATATCTCTTCAAATCAACGGGAATTTTTTTTGAGAAATCTTCCTTACACTTGTTTTTGAGAAATCATTGATGTGTGACTTGAAAAGAAAGTGGACGTTCTGAATATGAATGAATTTAGTTGAAATTATCTACTGATGACGTCAACTTGGTTGGTTAAACGGGCGTAGAAAAGAATGTTCTAGTTCTGGTGTGTGGAAGAACGATTTTTATCAGAATTTACTGTTGAATAATCATACTTATAATGATTTATCTTCAGGATAGGTCACTATATGGAGTCAAGATTGAAGACATCCGCGAATCAGATGCAGGATATTATCAATGCCAAATATTGTTACCAAACAGCACGGTGCAGGCAGAAGTTGAGCTACGCGTTCGAGTACCTCCTACCATATTGAGGAATACCACTAGGTCCATTTCAACTTCGGAAGGACAAGGTTAGTACACTCAAAAAACACAACAATAACTTTATATAGGTACCAAAAGAATTGAAACCATTATTGAATATCTAATTTTGAGATAAGATAAAAATGTATCATCTTTCCCACCAACCGATTTCTTGGAGTCTTTGAAGTCCTCCAGATACTCCTTAGGACAACAAGAGGAGTGCTCCGAATTCTCGATTCCATACAGTCTATCTCTTCTTGTGTTTGTAAATCTTTCACTGGAAAAATCCTCACTTGTTTACGTTATTGTAAATGTTCAAGAGATAGCAAAAACGTAAGTGATTTTCTGGAACTTCAACTAGCCGTTCCTAATATGACTGATAACCAGTCTGCCTCCGGGAGAAGGAAATGTTAAGAGCAGATAGTTGTTGGTTCACAGATGGATCAAAACACCTTCCGGTTCTGGTGCAGGTGTTTTCAGTCACAGACCCAAGACAGAGATACCAACCTGACTAGGAACCTATGCGACTGTATTTCAAGTGGAAATTTACGCCGAGAGATTGGAAAAATCCAACCTCGTACACAAGTCAATGAAACTATTCTCGGACAGTCAAGCGGCGTTGGAAGCTCTTGGCTCCTAGGTCTGAATTGATAACAAATTACCAAAAACGAATCTCCTCAATGGAAAGATTTAACAGATTGTCTCTGATCCGGATTTTTGACCATACTGGCCAGGTGGTATCACAATCAGGGTCGGACTGGGCTGAAAGGACTAGAGAGGTGTGTCACCCAGGCTGACGTCCGGCTGGCCAATACCATCCCGAGTAACGGGGCCAGTCCGACCCTCATCACAATGATAGTGTCTGATTCTCGAGTCTTCTCAATGGCTCAAAGTAGATCATATCTCAGTGGGTTTTGCTACATTTTTAATGATTTCCAATTGCAATTTTTTCAAATCAATAGATCCTATATAAAAGGTGGACCAGTGACAACAACAAAACACAGTATGACGTCAGCTAGTAGTTGTTGAATAGATAATTGCTGAATGGTTGGCAATTTGGTTAGTGTTTCCGTATGTTGACTCAACTATAATGTTGTTATTCTACATTTTAGTTCCTGATTCTAATAGAGAATTTTATAATTTTATTCCGATTTCAGATGTGCAGTTGCATTGCTATGCTGAGGGATATCCATCTCCAAATATATTTTGGAGACGTGAAAATAACGTTATTCTACCTACTGGAGGATCTACCTATCAAGGAAACATTTTGGAAATCAAGCAGATTCGCAAGGAAGATCGTGGAACCTACTTCTGTGTTGCCGAAAATGGATTAGGGAAAACAATACGTAAGAAAGTTTCGAATTTACTTTATTTCTAGTACTATATAATATGTAGTTCTAAACAATAATATATATTGAATTTCATAGGTTCGGGCTTCCATTTTCTAATATTATATCAAATGTAGTTCTAAACAATAATATATAGGGCTATTCAAATTCGTTTCTGTACATGGGGATCTCGTAAACGATAAGAGATAGAGTGTCGGTTAAATTGTGGCAAAGTTGCGTATTTTAGAGACCTATTTAATGATGTGAAAAATAGAATATAGCTCTTTTGGTTCTGGAGATGTACAGAAAAAACCAAAAATCCCAAATTATTTTTTTGCCTATATCAGCTTTATTCGCAGGCATATTGAAAATCTGGCACTTGATATGGACTATCAGAATATGTCCATTAATCTTTTATACAGGGTGTCATCTGACATGGGCCACCCCCATCTTTGAATTTTTAAATACGCACCTGTATTTTTTCTTGTAGTTTTTGGATCGTAAACGTTCACTTCATTCTGAGAAATTGAATTTTATTTTATATTTTGGAATGTTTCGGTAATATTTTATTTTAATTGGGTGAATTATTCCCTTTTAAATTACGGCCCTGACTGAGTTGGCTGAGTTAAATAAACACAATAGCAACTTTCACGTCTCCCAGCGGACTTTCATCAGCCTCTTAGTTTCACCGACATAGGATTTTCCGCACTCACAGGGTATCCGGTAAATACAAATCTTGCAGTCGTAGTCCACGTTTGGTGGACTGGTTTTCGTGAGGCTACTACATCAGAACATCAGAACCTGAAGCAGGTTCTGATGTTGTACTTGGACACAATTCTTCTTATCCTTTCCGATAATCCTCTGATGTAGGGAACTGCAAGCATTGGTTGTGACGCCAAACTCTGTTACACCATCGCTTGGGAGTAGTCATTCCGTTGAAGATCATTTTTGATGATATCTAGTTCCTTCTCGAAACCTTCCTTCGTATTACAGAGTCCGAAAGTACGGCCTAATAGAGTCTTGATGATTCCTCTTCTAGTCGATTGATGGTGGTTGGATTCGTGATTCAGATACTGCCCCGTGTGAGTGGGTTTTCGATATACCGATGTTTCCCACTTGGGTCGTCCTCTTCACCAATACGTCTAAGAATGGCAATTCGTTATGAACTTCCTCCTCCATTGTAAAAGTGATGGAAGGTCTTATACGCTGTTAATGTGTTTTAGGAAGGCGTCTACTTCAGTATTCCCATGATACCATATTAAGAAGGTGTCGTCAAAGTATCTCAACCAGACTCGGAGTTTCTTCAATGGCCAGAGTTTCAAACCACTCCATATATATGTTGGCTATAACTGGTGAATGTAAAATAAATATTTCTTTTCGGAAACACTTCAGTTCCTAAATTTAATATAGAACAGCCAAATGAATATAACTTCAATTCATGTAAATACTCATTAATGTTTTGAATGGTTGCCAATGTTGATGAACTGAATGAAACTATAAGTTTCAATTAGTTGACGAATGACAATAAATTCCAATCGACTGCACCTCTACTAGCTGACAACTTATATCGATATGTTTTTCTGCATTCAAACCATTTCGTAATGAAAAATGAGAATTAAAATTTCCTGTTTTTCACCATTTTCATTAGTAACTAAGGTTACGTAACGTTCATTGTAGGATACTTTTTCACTTACCTCATCGTTGTTGTTATTGTAGATGTAGATGTAATTTGTAGCTGTTCAATCTTGAAATTGAAACATTAGATGAGTTGTTTGAGAATGTAGAATTAACAACTTATCAATTTCGAATAGTTTTTTCCAAAATACCATGGATCCTACTTCACAAAGACAGCAAATAGCACGCTTCTGTAGAACAACGATTGAGTTGAAATGTTCTTGGTCACAAACTCCTCAAGAAATGACTCCACAACGAATAAACACTCATAATGTTGTAGGTAAAATTGATCTACAAGTACTATGCGCTCCTGTCATCACAGTGGCCAATCCTCGTGTGGGCCAAGCACTAAACTTCGACAAGGATTTAGAATGCAACGTGGAAGCATACCCGCCGCCTGTGATAACATGGAAGAAAGATAACACAACACTTCACACCGACCAACATCGCAAAATTTCTCACTTTAGTCTCTCAGACGAATTTACTAACACTATGCTCAGAGTGATATCTATAGAAAAGGAACATTATGGGCAGTACGTTTGTAGGGCAGCTAACAAACTAGGGATTGCAGAAGCTACAATCGAGCTCTTTGGTAAGTTTTTCCAAAAGGGCTCTTTCATAATCTTCCAATTCCAACTTTAGTTTTATTGATCAAAACAATATGTTACGTGAAAACAGAAGCTAAGCTTTTCATTTTTTTCAACCATCCGAAACTAGTATATAACCTCCAATAATTGTATATCGGTTTACACATTCAGAGTAAAAATTATGAGTTAGTGATGAAGAAGAAGAAACACTCGAAATTGATTATCATTTCGATATCTTTGGTTATGAGTTAAAAATAACTTCATAAGTTTGAAGTAAAAGTTACATTTGAAGATCTTTTTACAACAATTCTCCTTCAATATGAAGATTAATTGTTTTGAATATGAAAATTGGATTCACATTCTTTTTTTTTCTTTATTCTTTAGAAACGGACCATCCCACCTGCCCACCAGAATGTGTAACGACAACCACGTAAGTAGCAAGTATAATAGGCCTTTTCATCACAAAAGTTTTTGTACGCATGCGTCAGAATCAGCCATCTTTTTCGTACTGTTTTTTGTAAACAACCATGTTAAAGAGCCCGCAACTCATGTTTTAAAAATTATAATATAAATTTAAGTTTATTAATTGTAAAAAAAGTGTAAAAAAATAAAGTAGTAAGTCAAAATAATCAGAAAAAAATGTTTATACTCCATTATGTTATCTGTACGAAAAGGAACAACAAAATGGTGTTGTTATGGAGTATGTAAAAGTGATACACGATACAAATCATTCAAAACCAGCACATACTATTTTATAAATTTTCCAAAGCCTTGTCTTGAATATCTCAAAAAAAATCGAATCATTAAGCAAATTAAATATTAAAGCATGTGCAAAATGTGCGAAATGGGAGTTATGGGTGAAAAAATGTGGCAGGAGTGATCGAGGCTTTAAATCTGTTGATGATTTTACCAAGGATATTTATATTTGCTCACTACATTTCATTGGAGAAAGAGGTCCAACTGAACAAAACCCTGATCCTCTGGGCTATCAGAAATTTCAACATACGTACATTATTCCTTAGTGCATTTTTGATTGTAAATTTCATATATATTATGTTGTATTAAATATTTCACTCTGATAAAAATTACTAAACATATTCAATTCAGTATTTACATATTTGTCTAATTAAAAATGTCATATGTACAGCCTCAAAACATTAATGGGCTTGATTTATTTATTAGTTCCATAAGTAATACTCTTGTCAACTGAAATATATTTTCAATTACATCAAATAAATTGACATTATTAAGTAATAAGAATAAAACTGTAAATACTATTTTTTCATATGTTTTCAGATAGTAAACAAATGCTGATACCTAACCTCTCACTTTTTTTTGCGGACGCCCATGACGTTTTAACCACCTTTTTAATTGTTCACAATTATAAGCCTCAACTGAATTATTAACAAGTGAAGCACCATCAATGGTTTTTTCCAATAATTTATTTGTTTGTAGAGATAATATTCCCTGCCCAGCCATTGTTGATTAAAACAGTACGAATATTTTGAATTACCGCCATTTCAATATGACAGCTACGCTCGCGCTCGTCTTATGATGAAAAGGCCTATTAACATGGGGTATTCTAGAATCGTCCAAGGAGTATATAGTTATGAACTGTTAACTCCCTAAAATATGAGGTCTTTCATTAAGTGCTTTTTATTCGTTTGAAAGACCTGTTGATGCCATTATGTCCGCCATGGCTTCTCTGGGTGAAGCGTACCCGAAACGTCCAATTTTCCATGACTTTGTCGCATAATTCAGGCTGAATATGACCGATGGCATTAGTTATGTTGGCTTTGAGAACCGCTATGGTTTGGGGCTCATTCGCATACACCTGCGACTCAAAAAAACCCCAAAGGGAACATTTCAACGGTGTCAAATCGCACGATATCAGTGGCCAGTCCACATAACCTCCACGTAAGATGACCATGCCCTCAAATCGCTCGTGCAGAATATCCAATGTGGCATGAGCTGTGTGGCAAGTGGCGCCACCCTGATGAAACCACATGTCGTTGATGTCAAGATCATCCAATTTAGGCCAGAAGAAGTTGATAATCACGACCTATAGTGCTCACCGTTGACAGTGATAGCCTGGCCAACGTCGTTTTCAAAGAAATATGGACTGATGATGCAGCCAACCAAAATTCCAAACCAAACAGTGACTTTTTCGGGATGCATTGGACGCTCTTGGAACTCATGTGGATTGGTATCCTCCTAAATTCGGTGTTTGCTCTCATCCACATGTCGCATCGTTGGTTATAAGCATCTTTGAATGGCTTCGTGAATGTTCTGTCTAGTGGTTGAAGCTTGTGGATGATGTGTGGTGGTGATTGTTTTCTTGGCAAAAATTGTGTCAGTGTTTCGTGGCTGCAATGGCCATCCAGTAGGAGCAGCACAGGGTTCTCTTTTGTCGGGTGTGAGTATTTAACGAAAGTCTGCAACCATTGTACGTAAAAATCACAGTTCATCCAACCGTTTGGCTGAGCCACTCCAACGCTTTCGGTTGGAGCATGGATCATGAGCCCCTTTCAGCAAAAGTGAGCTTTCCCACTTGACGGGCAGCCTTCGAAGCGAGAACTTTCTGATGTTTGTGCACGCAGCTGACTCCGGTTTCATCACAGTTATAAATGTTGGAAGGTGGAAATATGTACTGTGTTATTAATCTTTCCATGTTGTCATAAAATATATCGACTTGCGGTTTATTAAACCCTACGGCTCGCATCATGCTTGTCGACTCTGGTGATCTCAAAGAAATGTCCTGATGTCTCTGCATGAAATCATAATAAAAACGTTTCCAGGCAGCTTGCTTCTCTTTGTTGAAACGAAGGGGGATCTTTATTGCTTCAGCCAAGTCGAAATCTAATTTCAGAAACTCCTTTTTCATCAGCGGCAGACATCTATTGGATAAATCTTTTACGTGGTCCACTAAAACTTGTTCGTACTCAGGTAAGAAGGTATTAGTGAATCTACCGAGCTTTGGTTGCAACGTCACTTCTTCTCCACGGTTCAATGCCGATGTTTTATCATGTAGAGTGCTTTTTGGGATATTGTAAGCTTCCCTTAAACTCATTTTTTGGACAACACCTTATCTATCGCAGTGTGTAAACTCCTTTGGTCCCATTTTCTTTTCTTTTTCGTCTCTTCCATTTCGATTTCTCTCCGTTCTTCTATCCTCTGGAGCAACGTATAATAATTATAATGATAAATATAAATGCTTAGTAGAAAAAACAACTTGTAAACTGTCCGGTGTTGAGGGACATCTTTGTATCCGGTACTAGGGGACACAGAATCCCCAACATTACGTGTTTTATACTAAAACTGCTTAGAAAATCAATAAAAACTTTCACTATTGATGAATTATAAGTGTACACTATCTTTGTTGGCAATTAAAAGAAACACTTAAACACAAAACTATAGCAGTAATACTTACTTAAAATTTATGCGACGTAGTGCTTTTACGCCAAAAACAGCAACCAACGAGACTTTTCGCGTCACTGGCAAACCGCGTCCCGTGTCCCTGTGCCCCTCTCATCGATTTTTGTACCTAACGCGTTGTGATTTGTCGGGATAGCGCCAGTGTCCGTTGCTACATGCCATCCGGCGTTAAGGGACTTCCCCCTTAACGCCCCCATTCATCCAGAAATTGGCCTCATCGCTGAAAATGATTTTTCGGTAAAAAATTAGGGTCAGTTGCCAACTACTCCAGGGCTCATTCAGAGAACACACATCGTTGTCTAAGGTCGTTTGTTATAATGTTCACTTTCTGTTGAAACTTCAACTGTTTAAAATAGCTAGAGACCAGTTTGAGAGTTAGGAATTAGTCTTCTTCATCTTCTGAAGACGTCAACTTGGTTGATGAACCGCGCGTCGAAAAGGGCATTGCAGTTCTGGTGTTTGAGAAATGTGCTTGCTTTGAATGTATTCTACAGCAGAAGGTCCAGTATTACTTTCTATTCCTTTGATAATGTCTATCACAGTCGCAGACGAAACGGCAGGCATGAAACCTGCAGACCACTGCCAACAAACCTGAGAAATAGCTTTGGCACAGTTACTTCTCACTTTGTAAGTTTACACCGTTTTAATTGCCACTCTTGTCGCAGCTAATCTGAAGATTTATTGCAAATAGACTAACAGCAGTTTTTTTTTCTAGGGGCTCAAACCTCATCCAAACAAATACTAGTGCTGCTTCCTAATTAATAGCTGACATATTGTGTATATCCATAACAGAGCCAAATATGAGGCCACAGTGTTTGTTGAGAAAGGTCTTTTCCGAAGTGCACAAATTGAAGAATGGATTTATATATGGGAAAATATACAATAATTTTTACTAAATTTTCTATGATAACTCTGTTGTATTCTCAGAAATAAATCTTTCTCAGCATGAATTCGACTTTTATCATAACCCATAATGAATATTTCAGGCATACTTGATGTATATTGAAGATACATCAAAAAACCTCGTTTAATTTTATCAATCCAGAAAGTTATTAGAAAGTGAACATGACGACTTTTCTACATAAAGGACCCAGGTGCCATCTATGTTGTCGATAAGAAACTCAAACCCAGTTCATTTTAAACGAACGAAAGTCCTCTAACAAAATCAATTGATTTCTATCACCTGATTACAATAATAAACAAATTGCTATGTTGCAAATGTTGATTCAAGAAGAAATGATCGAAAGACTGTAAAATAATTATATCCTAAAAGTCAAAAACTAAATTCGTGATACAAATGGACTCACCTTCGTGTTCTCGGTCTTCCTGGACTTTTTTCTCTGGGGTGATATCCATATTATTCTTTCTGATCTTCTTGAGTTTTCTTCTTCTTTTTTGTTCGTCATAAGTATTTTCTTCTCAAATGTGATGTTTTGTCACATAGTTTTCTTCTTCTTTTTTGTTTATCGCTGTTGGGCTGTTGTTTCCATTGCAAATGTGATGAGAACACATATTAATGTTTTGTTTACCCAGAAAGAACGATGATCATGTAAGACCCATCGAGGTCATCCGTAGGATTCTGGTGTGTGTGTGTGACTTCCTAGGACTTCCCCGAAATGTCCTGCAGAAGTCAGAGGACAGGGAATCAAATTGTGCAAACTTGAGGGCATCTATACCTGCCTAGATGACGTAATAATCATCACATAATTATAACGTCTTATTACGTATTTACATATTTATAACGTCTTCAAAATATCCTGTGAGCGTAACTGAAATAAGAGTTTTCATATAATTATTCGTTTGAAAATATGTTTTCAATTGAAGAGAAATATAATAGTTTCGCATATATTTAGTTCCAGTCTGGTGTGGTGAATAATTTTCTTCAGCACAGTACAATCATTTATTGTTCATATAGTGCTCAGTGCTCAGTATTCAATGGTGTCTAGACTTTTGACAGTCAATTCAAATCAAATCGAAATCATTTATGTTCTTGAAATGACTATGGAAATTCTACTAAATGTCTAATAGACTCAATTGAAGCTCACAATTTGTACAGCTGCAAAACTCCGGTAAAAAAAATGCAATTCAACAACACAACATATTATTGTTGTATTTCATTCTTTAGGTGTTGCTTTGCACTCATATCTGTTTTGTTAATCGATACTTATATTTTTAAATATTGAAATACTTTTTACGTATTTCCTTGATCTTCTGTCTCGGTTCAAACTTTATTCGTTTGTATTTTTCATTCCTCTTGATCTATCATTTCAGATTACATGACATTTTTTTATTCAATATAAATCAGTTTCCTTTGAATTTTACATACTTATTTTTTATTGTTATTCTATATTTTTTTGCTATTAAAATTAGAACATCAAAATAGAAATGATAGCGTTTTCATGTACTTGAAGAGAGCACAATTGGCGTTAATATAGAGGGTAGATAGGTACAGAAAACTCAAGTCCGCCGCTGGTACAATCTAGTTATCACAATGATAGTTGTGAGAATAAAAATATCGAAAAGAAAGACTGTTTTATTCAACTACAATAGTCTGATATTGAAAGACAACGCTGAACAGAATATAAAGATTGCTTTACTGGATGACTCATTAAAATTAACACCAATTGTAAAGAAGACCCTAGGCAGTATATTAAACTCAATGAATCCACAATAACAAATCAACAGAGTGGACAATTTCACAATAACATAAATTTATATGAAATTCTATGAATTTTATGCTTAGTGTGCTTCCCAGTTTTTGGAGAACGACCCATATATTTCTGAATCGAACGATGTTATTTCGATTATATTCATTTCTCTGGTTACTGATGTTCAGAAAAATAGAACGTGGTTATCATAGGCGTACCATTTTAAGGACCCGAATGAAGATTCATTTTCAGAAAAAAAAGTTAATTGATAACTTTCTATTCCAAAGTATAAAATCAATATGTATTCTCTAATTCAGTAGGTACGTAGCAAAAATCACTTAACTAGATGTGAAAAATCAAATGCCCATTTTTTAAATTGTTTTCATGCAATCACATTTCAATATAGATAATTTACTTCATTTATCTTGCCACAATTTTTGAGATATTGGAGATGACTATGTCTATAAATTTTTTTCTTAGGCCAAAATTTCAAATCAGGTGTTTCTGATATTATGTACATACTCTTCAATATGAGCGAGTCTTGTTTAATGATTTTATTAATGTACTGATTTTTGGGGATCCTTTTAGAAGGATTAAAACATGCCTATGGTAAAGGTGTTTTCATAACAGTGATGTTATCTCATTGGTATATGTTAAATAACTACAATACACCGCAATATTTATTTATTTACGCACTTGTCATTTCACATAGACAGTGTGAGAGAAAAAATAAAATTGAACATGAGTATGAAATACCAAAAATACACATAAATCGATTAATTCTTAATAATAATCATCAGCAGTTTTTTCATAGCAGATCGATAAGTTAAACCTGTTGCAGTATACATGGATGGTTCATATCAATTTTTATAACCTCATTTCTTAAGTCAGCTATAGAGGACTCCATATCACGCAATTACATTCCAAGACTGAGCGTACTGAAGAACAATATGCGCATTACTCCTTTCTTTTCAGTCTCTAAGGAATTATACAGATACAAGAAACCCTGAAAAATTAATAGAGCTTCAGAAAGTTATTTGGTTTAATGTCCTTGAGACCCATATATATCGCCGCCACTGGAAGCACAGGTGTTACATGATCTCGAGACTACGTAGCAGATCGTTGTTCGTTGGTCATGTCTTCGTACTTCACCGGTTGGCTACACTGAACCTGAAGTTAGAAATTACTGTTTTCCCGTTTGTGTCAACTTTGTGTATTGTGTACAAATGGTTGCGTTTGTTGCTTAGCGTTTGTTTTATTATATTCTGGTGTATTTTAAATATGGCGACTGTAGGGTTTTTATTTTTTATAGGCTTTATAAATATTGGTAAGTGAACTTAGTTTATATGAAAACTGCCCTACCCTAAGGTTTTTATCTCAGGGATGAAGCAAGATAAGGATAAGGAAACATGATAAGCTCTGTATCATTTGTTATTGTCATTAATATGATGATATCACCAGATAAGCATTTAGTAGGTTACACCTTTTTTTAAATGACAACGGATTTTCTAAAATGAAACAAATAATGAAGTTTTCCAGATTATCCAATTTATTTTATTTATTCAAGAAATAGTTAGGTACATCAGGTTAAGAAATTGAAATTTGCTAAAAAATCATTATGAAAATAAAAGTTATTATAGTTTACCTATAACTAAATACCTACGTCTAAAATTGGTTTATTTCCTAGGCCTCTTCTTACGAAAAAATATGTTTCTATTGTTTGGAAAGTGAATTCAGAAATTCTTAAGTGAAAGTTGAGAAACTGAGAAACAATGAGCATGAATCATTAGTACTTACCCAGTGTTAATATTTTCATTAATGCCATCCAAATTATATCCTAAACACTGATTTAAAAAAAGGTTTGATGAGATTTTTCCAGTGAAATGTTAATGAAGAAGTTAGACAGGATAGAAATGTAACTATCAAAAACAAAGAAACAAAATATAATAACTAATGAACAGGTCAAAATTCAAATATCTTCTGAGAGGGGCTTGAAAATTAATTATACACCAAATTCTTGATGTATTCGTTTATTACTTTCATGAGAGGTATTCAAGTGACTTGGCATATTTGATTGCACCAAGAGCGGTACATATCAGAAATATGTGACGGACTTTGGCTGCTCATCGTTTTGAGGTTCAACTCAGTACACCTTGAACTTCACTGTTCAAGAACTCTATCATTTGGAGAATTGCGTTTATGTGGAATAAACTTTCTGAGAACGTTTTTCCAAATGAATTTAATCTCCAGCGATTCTGAACCAAAGTGAATTGCTACTTTCGTACAGGCTCCGTGCTTCAAGGATTTTCCAGTAGTGCTTGTGTTTCGTCCTTAAAAAAATGTGTTCTTTATTGTATTCTCCACATTTATTACAGTATTTTGAATTGGATAATCTATAATTCTGTTTATCTAAGTGCTTATACTCATTTTCACTTGCCTGAGTTCACTTCCAGTCTTACTTTACATTTTTTAGTCGTTTCTTCAATTTTAAAATTATATAATGTAAATATTTATTACAAGTGATGCTTGTACAGTTATAAAAAAGGTGATTCCGGGCAACAAATAAATATTAGTTAATTCATTTTGGTCAAATTTCAGCCCTAGCACAAAGGTCGCCAACTATATCATATATTACCCAAACACAAATTAAGGATATTGGAGGAACTGTAGAGCTGTCATGTTCGGTTCAATATACAGCAGATTACTCGGTTATTTGGATGAAAGTCGACAAGAATCAGAATTCCTACAGTTTACCGATCTCCACTGGAAGCTCTCTGATTTTGCATGATTCAAGATTCTCTCTAAGATATGATCCTGTAAGTACATCGAAATAGGGCCAAAAATAAATATTTCGGTGCCCCAGAAAAACATCTGAACATTAATCCCAAATGGAGCTCATTTTATTATTTTGATCTAGCCTTTGTTCATGAATTGATTGTTATTCTCCGATTTGATTTCAGAGCAGTTCAACTTACGTACTCCAGATCAAAGACATCCAAGAGACCGATGCAGGATATTATCAGTGTCAAATATTGATATCCCCCAGCAACAGGGTGTCTGCTGAAGTTGAACTGCAAGTGCGAAGGCCCCCTTTCATTTCTGACAATTCCACTAGGTCCATAGTGGTTTCTGAAGGTCAAGGTAAATATCTTTCAACTGATATATCCCATAATAGTTCTGATTTCAGAAAAGATTCTCAACCCTGCTCATAATCCCGAATTCTAGTTTTCAAAATCACTTGGTGAATCATTGAGTATTCAAAATTCTGATTTGATTTCAGCTGTACAAATGGAATGCTATGCTGGTGGATATCCGCCACCAAGGATATCTTGGAGGCGTGAAAATAATGCCATTCTACCCACCGGAGGCTCAATTTATAGGGGTAACATTTTGAAAATCAAACAGATCCGTAAAGAAGATCGAGGTACTTACTATTGTGTAGCTGAAAACGGAGTAGGAAGAGGAACAAAAAGTAAGGAAACATGACATGAAAATAAAGAATATTTTTAAAACAAATTTATCAATTTTCAATTACAATTAATTTTACCGGAGAGGCCATATCCACTTTTCTAAGGATCAAAGCATAAATATTATTTTTTTTGTAGGAAATATTGCAGTAGAAGTGGAATTTGCTCCTGTTGTGGTAGTGCCAAGACCGCGTTTAGGCCAGGCCCTCCAATTCGACATGGATCTGGAATGTCATGTTGAAGCCTATCCCCCTCCTGCTATAACTTGGGAAAAAGATGATATAACTCTGTCCAACAACCAGCACTACAGAATATCCCATTTCGCTGTAGCAGACGAATTCACCGACACCACAATCAGAGTCATCACCATAGAAAAGAGGCAGTATGGTCAGTATGTCTGTAAGGCAGCTAATAAACTTGGCACAGCTGAAGGAAGAGTTGAACTCTTTGGTAAGTTTTTTCTAAGCTTGTTGAAATGTTTGAGTTCTTGTTCGGTAGAAATGAGGAATGTTTTTATGGATTGACATTAAAAAAAATCAAACTTGGCAACTTGATAATTTTTTTTACCATTTTTGCTTTAAAAAGTCATCTGCATACCTCCCTTTTTTTACTATAATCAATTGTAAAATTGTGTCTGAAACTGTATAGAGGAGAAACACATACAAACTATAAAATCAATATGTTGAAATATCTCGAAAATATTCATCTCTCCCAACTACGCTGTAGGTTCTGGTAAATGCCTTCCGGAAAACAACTACTATCCCGGCTAATACCACGCTGGATATTCACATTTATGCAAGATACCTCACAGCGGTTAGTCTTGCAGATGTTTCTTGTTTATTCAGAAACAGGACCGTGCTGAAATTATTTGAGTGGATCACCCACAAACCGGTTTCAAGTTATTATCTCTCATCACTGCCAGAAAGGTCCGACTCAGACAGCAAGAGATGGAGCTGTTACTAGTTGACAATCTTTCTCTTAGACCGTACCAACATTCACAGACTACAGTAAAAATTGATTGATTAATTTAAAAAACGTGAGGGAAGTCATAAGGGCTATATAATTCAGAGGGGAAATCAATATCTAAAGTGGCTACAAAATGCGAAAATTTTAGTGGGTTTATTCTCCATCATCTACAATGTATCATTAATAATAATATTGCCCAACAGGTAACACCCAATTACAGGACATAATTAAATACATCAGTACTGACAATAGATAAAATAAATTAACAAATCATGTTCATTCTTGACATGCTATATGAATATAACATAACAATGATATATAACTTCGAATATAAATTAAAAGAAAGAAAAATAAAACAAAAGAAAAAAACTGATAGTATAACTATTCATTGCGCTACTTGGTAAGAGTGGTTATAATAACTGACTCTCTCACAACACAAAAAAAGAAAAAACAGTTTCAATATCACTTTTCCATTGCAACTTTTTTTATATGATTCGCCAAGCAAGTATTAATATCGCAAAAGCTGCATATTGAGTTGTAGTTTTCACACATATATTCAATTGGAGAATGCGTTATTATGTTTGTTCGTGATGCAGAGCAGTAAAATGTGAGATTCAGCCGTGACTGAGCTCTTGGCACCCTAATCAGTTCTGACAGGAGCAAATAGCAGTCTACTTGGCTGTGCAGTAGTTTATGCGAAAAGGTTATTGAAACACATCTTCTCCTTTTTTCTAAAGAAGATAATTGAAAGTGATTGTGAAGACTATAGTGGTCAGAACCCCTAGCTGGATAAATTCCAGTGTTTTTGAAGTACAAGAATTTCAAAAATTTTCTTTGAACTTTTTCAAATGAGTACTCATGACAGAAATAGTAGGGGCTCTGAATAATTGAGCAGTATTCAAGCTTGGATCTGACATATGAGAAATATAATATCTTCAAGGCGTTTATGTTTGTGAAGTTTTGACAATTTCGTGTGATAAATCCTAACATTTTATTGGCTTCGAAAACTTTTTTGTTTATGTGATTGGCAAATGCCATTTTAGAGTCAAAAAATACACCTAAATCCTTAGTCTCCACACGGCGGGTTAGCAAACTACCTTGAATATTGTATGGATGTTCAATATGTCTATGTTTTCCAGTATATGACATGACTTTACATTTACCTATATTCAGATGTAGGTTATTAATTTCAAACCAAGCCTGCACATTATCTATATCTTCCTGAAGTGTCATGCAGTCATTCACATTTTGGATAGAATTCAGTATTTTCAGATCATCAGCAAAAAAGTTTCATAGAATTTATTTGTGTGCTTGAATCATTGATAAATATCAAAAACAACAGCGGTCCCAAATTCGATCCTTGGGGTACGACAGACTTAGCAATCATTGTGTTTGATTTGTATCCGTTGTAATAAACTATTTGGTTACGGTTAAAAAAATACGATTCAAAAAAGCCTAGTAGCTTATTACTAAGGCCAATAAGGTCCAGTTTCGAATGTAAGATGCTATGATCAATTTTGTCAAAGGCCTTTGAGAAATCTGTGTATATCATGTCCACCTGTACTTAATTATCCAATGTTGAGCACACTTAGTGGGAAAACAATGCTAGATTTGATTCAGTGCTGCGGTGGTTCATGGAACCATGTTGAAATTCACTTATTTGGTTGTCATTGTCAGGTTTTCTAGTGTTATTATGCTTGTTTTGGAATGCGTTTTAGTTTTGAGTTGTTGGAGATAGAATAAAATATAAGTCATGTATATTTACTATTTCTTTGTGTGAACGGACCACAGTGTCCAAAAAAAGGTGTTTATGAAAGACTTTTAACATCAACCACTCTGAAATCGTTTTAATGTAATGAAAAATTTAAATGAATAAGAAATTGCAATGAAAAATACATTACAAAAATTATGTTAAGTATCAACGTGGACTGTATTTTCTGTGAAATGAATTTGAATATTTTCCTTTTACGTGATTCTGGTAAATAGGGAGAGCAAAGATTTCTAGACAGATACGTTCTCCAAAAAAATGTTTTTTGTACATGCTTTCAATTGCATTTTTCTCTGTATGATCGAGTATTTATTGAAAAAAATGTATGTGTTATATGTTTGCATTGAGTCAGTAGTTTAGCTACAGCTAGATATTATTTATGTGTAGAATCTGTGATTCCTGTTTGTCCGCCTGCCTGTGGTTCTGCTAGATATGCTGCTGCTGCTACAATATCAACCAGTACGGCAGCTATCTTCATCTCTCTGGTGATTTTCATGTTCAGGTAAGATACATTTTGCTTGGATTGCTGTTTGCCTTAGAATCTTCAGAAGTATTGGAACTTAATGTTATATTTTTTTATATATTGTTCTGCACACCATATAGGTTAATATTTGTCATCACCATCAAAGAAGATTTGTATTGTAGAAAGAATACAAACATATTCACAATATAATCAAAAGTATTGAAAGGGTGCATCAAAATTTTAAAATTACAAGGAAAAAAATTCTGTAGTTGAAAGTAGTTAGCTTTTTAGTTCACGTATCAATAATGTACTTTCAACTAATGCACAAATTTACTGTTTTTATTTGCCTCTCTCAAGAGTTCAATTGCAATAATTGTATGGTCCTTGAAAAAATGGGAATGTCTCATATGGTTGATTCATTGTTAATTACCGGTTACATTTTATTTCATTAACAATTTAACTATGTAGCCATTGGTGATGAAATAAGAAGGATAAAAGCCTAAAGTGCTCAGATGGTAAACAACTTGAAAGAACAGTTTTTTTTTTCGTATGTCACACATGGCAATAATTTCTGTCAAATGTAACATAAACTAAAGACATTGATACAAGTTGCTATAAATATCATCCTGATTATATACGTTTCATGAAAGACACACACATAAGTTTTGATGCACCCCATTCTTGTTTCCCCCGATTCTTGAAACTTTAAAGAAATACTATAGTTCGTTACATTTATATATTTTTTTTTAGAAATATCCGTTCCCAACAGTAACTACCCAGGACTCATTTGGCTGAATTCTGCAAGAAAGAACATTGAAGCGCCACTCTTCAATATTATTTTAACGGTTGTTTTGATATTTCGTAACTGAAACACAATTTAATTCTTCGACATGTCCCGGGTCCTAGCTTTTATTTCCAACAGTTTTGCATTTAGTCGAGTAAACAATTCTTTTTGCGATACAATCTGAATTGTAGATTGTAATGGGTCGTAAAGTTTTTTTTCAGCATCTCACTACGGCAATGTAAATTAATCAGACAAAATGGAAGAGAGCAGTTTTGGTGATTATTTCGTTAACTGTTGTCTGGAATTTGGACTGGAAAGTATACCTTGAATATGTTCAAATTGTAGCTCGATAACTCCCAATTGATTAGTTTTTTTTGCATTATATTGGTGATATTTATTAACTGGAAAAAATCGAACTTTGGGAGTGATCAAAATCTTTTGAACGCAGCTGATTAAATATCCACAAAATAATTTTCAAACAAAGAGTATGTTTGTTCAATATGTTTCTGAGATAGATGTTCTCAATGTTATAAAATATAAAATTAAAACTAAGCCCTCCTGTGGTTATGATGGAATTTCAGCTGTGATATTAAAAAAAATTGCAGAATATATAGTTAAACCTCTAACTCACGTGAATAATAAGTCTCTTGAGGACAGGATATTCCCAACAAAATTGAAAACTTCATTAGCATCTCCTATTTTAAAGAAAGATAATCCATCTGACATATCTAATTATAGACCAATCACTATTCCATTGGTAATATCAAAAGTAATTGAATATGAGGGGTTCTAAATCAACTGGTATCGTTTTTAGAGAGGAACAAAGTTATTATGGAAAATCATCATGGTTTTCGTAAATAATACTCTACTACAACAGCAATTATCTCGTTCTATGAGAAAGTATTAATGGCTACTGAGAAGGGTGAAAATCCAACAGGAATATTTTGTGATTCAAGTCGAGCTTTTGATTGTGTTCAACACAAAACTCTGCTTGATAAGTTATATAAATTTGGTATAAGAGGTAAAATTCATGACTGGTTTAGCTCGTATCTGAAAGGACGGAAACAAATTGTAAAAAATCTCTCATTGTGGTAAAACATCTCGGTCATCTCCTCAAAGAAATGACATTGGGGTACCTCAAGGCTCCATTCTGGGGCCAATACTATTCGTCTTATATATTAATGAGCTACCTCTGATCTTAACTGATGCATTCACTACATTGTATGCAGATGACTCAACGCTACTTTTCACAGGAGAAAACTCTGAAATTCTGAAAACAAAAATTAACACCGCAATGCACAACTTTTCAGTCTGGTCTTCTAATATGTCTCTTCTTTTTAATACAAACAAAACAAATTGTGTAACGCCATTAATAGTACTGAAAGTGTTGAATTTCTTGGAATTTTTTTGGACGAAAACTTATCATTTCGAACTCACTGTCTACAGCTTTCTAAGACACTGAACTCAAAATGTTACCAAATCAGAAATCTTAGATATACATTGAATTTGAATCATCTCCGTTCATTCTATTTTGCAGAAGTTCAATCTAGAATTAACTATGGTATTGCAGTCTGGGGTGGATCAGCATATGCACAAAATGTTTTTCTGGCTCAAAAGCGCATTATTAGATGTATTGCTAGAGTCTCATTTAATCATAGTTGTCTTTACCTTTTCAAAAACATGAGGATTTTAACAGTTAGTGGTATTTTCATTTTATAACTTGAAGAATATACACAAAGCTCGTGACGACCATTTGCGTGTAGATGAACTACACAATTATGATACTAGACAGAAAGGCAAATATTGCGTTCCCTTCAGACGCTTAAATATTAGCTTAAATTCACCTACTGTACTTGGCTTAAGACTATAATCGACTTCCACAAAGATATAGATCCTTTTCAAACCGGAAATTTCTTATTGAAGTGAAAAAGATACTAATTGATCTGTGTCCCTACTCCCTAGAAGTTTATTATGAATTAATTTTTCAAAGAACAACCTGTTAACATGTATTATTTCACTATCCTATGTTAATTGTATTTTGTCTGTAATCCTTGTTATGCATGTACATGATTTATTTTATTTTATCATTTCACTCTGTTGTATGTCTATATGTTTTTTGACTTGTCCTATAGCTGTATTTGCTCGAATGGATAAGTAAAGAATTGAATTGAAATTGTGCGGTGATCAATGTCTCGATATCTTTTTTACTGTTTGTTACGTAGGTCAATCTGGGCGATACTAGATCAGTAGGATATCAGATTATGATAAGACACTATCATTATATTATAATTTTGTATATGTTTTTGATTTTAACATGGAAATAATACAGTCGGTAGGTTATTTTTATGTCTCGAACATTCTTATATATATTCTCTATATTTTGGCAAGTATATAATTCAAGAAGTGAATTTTGTAGAGCCCCTAGGATGAACTTGATAAAGTTCGAAATATCGGCCCAACCTGTTCATCAATGAAACATTTTAAATTGAATACTTGTTCCAGAGTTTTGGAAAAGATTTGTATTATATGTTTTATGAAGTAGTATCACGGCCTATGTTACAATTTCAAAATTTTTTGAAAGCACTATTCTTAATTCAAGACTAGGTGAGAGTCATAATAGTTGTTCACATTATTCGATAAACATGTTGAAACGTATTCCATATTATTATTATTATATTATGATTTTAAAAATGTAAAACCTAATTTTTTTTAAAGAAAGGCTCGCTAAAACTAAAACATTCCCTAAATAATTTAAAGTCTGAAGAAACTAATTTTATTTCATTGCACTAAACTTATAATGAGACATTCGGTGATTTACAACAATTTCAATTGAAATAGACTTCAAATACAAAAAAAAAGTTTTTTATGAAACTCAAATATACAATGTGTCCAATATAAGGAGGGCTAATATGGGAGAATCGAAAACCGTTTTTTTTTTTCAAAATCGCCGGATGCGGCTCATCCGAAATTATATCATAAAATCTCAAATTAGGAAAAGTTACACATTTTAGAGCTTATGTGTGGTATATCAGTGAAGTCACCAAAAAGGCTAACTTATAACGTAGTATTCTTTTTTCGGGTTTATATAAAAAAGTTATATTGACGATGGCTTTTCGGAGACGAAACGTCAGCTTGAAAATATATAAACTCCATATTGTAGGGCTTGAAAAGTGGCAATGTGAAAAAATTCAAATGATGAAATTAGCGAATATCAATTTTCTGGAATGGATAGGACCCCAACGAAAATGCAAAAAGTAGTATAAATATGCTCTAAAATGTGCAGCTTTTTTGTAATTTAAATGACTTTGTATCTCTCAGTGTTTCCGATGTTCCAAAGCTGGGCCGCCCCTAATCTTACACACAGTCCATGTGTATAAATTTCAATTTTTTTACATAAATAAATTTTTTGAGTCTCTAAGGTGCTGCAGCCTGACAAATCCTTCCCCTCGATGCTCCCTTACTAGGGGACACTTTTTTATACTGAGTTTCAAAAATTTTCGCTCATGAACTATTGATTTTTAAAATTCAGGGATGTGTAGCCAAATCATAATTTAAAAAAAACAAATGAGTTGCTGATATTGAATAGTTATGAACTAGTTTTTTAATACTCGAAAAATGTTTCTATGTATTCACATTTTGCTCAAAAATTACATTTATTGCTGTTTGTTATTTTTTTAATATTTACGAATATCAAATCACAAATTGATAGAAGTCTGTAGAAAGTTTATTTTGTAGCTATGGTTTCCAGATTCTCTCTAGGTTTCATTTTTTGTTGATAATAAAGTGTGAACATTCAATAATTGAAAGTATTTTGAAACTGTTGGTACTTGTAACCTTTATGGGTTCCAATGAAAGACTGGAAACATGATTTATTTATTAAGTCTGTATAATTCGTCCAATTTTTTATTGTTTGAATAAAAGTAGTAATAAAAATAAGGTGTTTCACTTGTGCAAGTTGAAGTGTTGAAGCAATTGGTCCTTCAACTTAATTAGTAAATTGAGTTGAGAAAAAAGAAAAAATTCAGTAAGTATTGAATATCAACTTTAATGTTGTCTTCTGAACATAAAATGTATCTTGAGTTTTTAAAAAATTTGTTATGTTAACTAGCAATATTGTTTTTGATCCCCCGTTTTTACAAATGGTGACATTAAATTGGAATCTAATTAAAACACTTCATTTTACAGCCCTATTTTGTATTTGATTTTATTATGTTTTCCTGCTTCTTGAAAATACAATTTTTTCTTCATTTGGGAAAACATAACATACGAGGTCTGCTCAAAGAATAGGATGAATGCTTAAGTTTCGCGGGCTACGTTACTGACGTAAATTCAAGTGGAATGGATTATGGAACCTTCTGGGCGTTCATGTAAACTTTATAAATGACGAATTGAAAAAATTAAGTAGAAGTTTTAATAATGTTACGTAAAGCTCAACAATAAGTTTCAATAATTGCAAGTTAAATTTATTTATATTAAAAAAAAAGTATAAATTATTAAACAAATTGAGTTTGAATGTAATCAAAATGTCTTATACGGCAATTGTAGATGCGTTGCAGTAGTGCTCAAGAAACTAGTTCAGATAAAGAGTGGAATACAACTTTACAAAATTATAATCTCAGACCACGTATTACAGATTACGAGAATGTATTTCATCGTTATTCAGATGAAGAATTCCAAAGTCATTTCAGGTACATGATTTTCTATCACATATACTGTAAATTTTGAAAATATAATTTCTAATTGCACACTTAGGTTATACTCTAAATTCATGCTACTCTTAAATTTACTTCTGTATGTGTCACTAATTATTCCATTGATTACTTATGAGATTGAATAAGGGAATGAGTTAAGAAATTCGAAATGAATTATGAATGACATATTTATGTCATATTTGAAAAACTGCGCCGAAATATTCTCAACGTCCACTTCAACCCACCTCTTCAGATGGGTCTTTGTGAGCGAAAGTAATGACGTCATCAGGGACATCGAGGCGACCACAACGACCGCGGTCAATCTTCTTTTGGTCTACTGCGCCGAAGGGAAGCAAAGACCATAAGAAAAGAGAAGAATTACGACCGCGTTCATTATGTGGAACGGTTATAAGAGCATTTTGATTTTGATCGTTGTGAGCGCTTAGTGGAACGCACAGCGAATAACTTTTGTCGGTAATGGTCAGTGTTGCCGTTTCAGTGATAATTTAGTACTTTTCTATTATTTTTCTGATTGACTGGGCCGCTACCGCCGTTTTACAAACTACATCGTATCCGGTGTAGTTTGTGAAATTACTTTCCTATTATGTCAGTTGTTACTTTGTTTTTAGTGTCCACATCTTGTCATTCAGTTATTTGCTATTTGATGTGATGTTATGCCATACTGGAAATCAAAATTGGAAGGTCTGAAAATGTTAGATATATATTGTATATGTATTAGTTGTTGATGAATATTTCGTCCTTTAGTACTTTTTTACGAAGGGTTACGGCAACACTGGAAAATGACCCAATACGGAATTCCGGGATAAGCTTAGAGTTAGTGCAAAAATCCAAGATGTCTTTAAATTTTGTTTTTTTATCCGAGGCAGCATTTCAGTGTGTAGTAATGCTTCACAGCTGCCCTGAAGCGAGAAGAGTCTAAACCTGCTATAAATAACGGTCTTGCACAAAGAAGATTATATTGAAGGAAAGATAGAAGAACAGAGAATAAAAATATATGAAGAAGAATAAAAATGGAGTACAATATTGTGTAAAACAAAACTCTTGTACTCCCTGGACAAAGTTGTTATTGTAGTTATCACTATGATAAAAAGAGCACTGGTCATAGTAGCGTCAAATCTGGAAGCTGGGACCGAAATTAAGAAGAAGAAGAAATGTTTTTGATGTCAACACAACTAACCTCTATATAGTTGGTTGTCTCTGATATACATAAAGATTTACTCTGATACAGAAAATATTTTTATATATTAAAGTTGTTGAATAAATCCAAATTTAATTTTTGCTCTCGACATATGATCCAGTACAGTTAGATCGAATATATTAAAGGTAAATTTATACATACTGGATTAGTAAGTAAAAGATAAACAGACAATTTTGTCTTTACTTTAGTGAAATGACTACTGAAAGTCAGCAAATATGTAGACTGTGTTTGAAAGAAATTGAAAGTGGTCTTGAAAATATAGATGATATTCAGCGAGAAATGTTGGAAGTTTTACTTATAAAGGTGGTAAGTATTCATTGTTGACCTATGAACACAAAATATGGATGTTTTGGAAAGTGAAGGACAGATAGAATAGGTGTATACTGATTTTCCCAAAACTTTTGACCAATTTTTATTGGAGAAATAAAAATCTTCTGATTCAAGCATTGAGGCTCAAGTAGTTCCATACTAAATCAGGGCTCGTTAAGAATATAGTTTCTAATTTATAACATTCACAAATTTACTTTAGAAAGAGTTTCAGACAACTATTTGGAATTCTTTTCAATTGAACCAATATTTTATAAATTCTTAAATCAACAGAGTAGAAGAGAAAACTTTGATCTTATTTTTATATTCAAACTACCAAATTTCTTATTCATTCCTGAAATCCCGCAAAATATCTTTTTTATGTTCCGAATAGAATACCGAGGGGCGGTGATTTATTTCAAATCTGCAAATTATGGCTTACATAAAGCTACTGATTGTACACTTCAAATATGAATAAGAAATGTTGAGAAGTAACTGGAATATAGGAGGGTGAATTGAAAAATATCCTTAAATGAATGTTCTGGACATACCTCATCCAAAATATCTTAACTTGGTGTTTCAGGACTGGTCTATTAGTGAGCATCCTGTCTTATGCAGGCAGTGCTTTACTGAAATGCAAGATTCGTTCACTTTCAAGTCCAACTGCATTGACATAGAAGATTATTTAACACCTTTCAAAGAAAATGTTAAATTAGATTTGAAAACTGTGTACATACGAAAGAAAGATGTACCGAATCCCACAGATGCTGAAGAACATTTATGTAGATTATGTATAGAGCCAATAGACAAGAATGAGGCCTTCTCAAACAAAACTGAAATAGAAAAATTCAAGTTAAATCTACCCGAAATAGTGAGTATGCAATGATTCAATCACATTTCACTCCACTTGCTGGATTTTGGATTTACTACATATATTTCAGGACTTGGAACTGACCACAAATGTTGTTTTTTGCCCAAAGTGCTACAGCTCACTACAAAATTATTTCGCTTTTTCAGAAAAGTGTTTGGAAAGTGAAAAAAAAATCCATGATTACTGTAAAATAATCAGAAGACGAGGCCGAAGGTCAATTTTTCTGGACAAGTTCCTAGAGTATTCCAAAACTGATTCAGTGCCCATTATAAGGTCTGTATGTTCATTTGTTCATTAAATTACTTAACTACAATGCTGTAGATAACGAACTATAGTTTTATCAAAATTGGGAAAACAATTCATAAGTGTTTTTAATCTGTTTCTGGGGCCCACCCAAATTACCCCCGTGACCCAATAGTGGATCGCAACCCATAGTTTGGGAACTACTGTGGTAGGAGATCATCATGAAAAATGAGAAATTAAATATTCTATCTTTTTTACAATAATCACAGAATAATAAAAATTATTATTATTATAGTATTCACTCAGCAAATTTTCTTCCAACATTTTTCAATCATTTAAGATGATCATTATTATTTTTCAGGGAAGAATCGAATGGAAAACGAAAAAAAAGATCTAAGATATTAGAGGACTACAAATGTGATATTTGCTCCTACACAACAAGGAGTGCGACATATATTCAAACACATAAAAAATCACACATTGATTTGCAAGAATTGTTCGAGTGTACTATGTGCCCCTTGAAGACAAAGTATGAAAATGTTCTGAACAAACACATGAACACTATTCATTCTGATCACACATATTCTTGCAACAAGTGTTCTTTCCAAACCAAACATAAGATATCTCTAGTCAGACATGTCGAAACACATGAATTGACTACAGTATATGAATGTCATTCATGTCATTTCAAAACAAAATATATTGCAACGTTTGAAAGGCATGTTTGCAAAACTAAAAAACCAAGACGAAATGTCGTGACCCTTAAGAATCCTTCAGAAATAAAAATGTATAAGTGTGACCTGTGCCAATATAAATCAAACAGATTTGGAAGTGTGAAGAAACACAAGTTGGTTCATAAGAATCCTTCAGAAATAAAAATGTATGAGTGTGACCTGTGCCAATTCAAATCAAAGAGAACTTTCACCATGAAGAAACACAAGTTGGTTCATGAAAAACCAGAGCAAACGATTTACAAGTGCCTTCATTGTGAATATAACACATTCTCGACGTGGGCTCTGAAAAAACACATTGAAACACATGGAGATGTTTTCAATGTTAACACACTGAACAAAGAAAAGTTCATAAGTAAACTTGCGAAAAGATCGTACAAGTGCACCCAATGTGAATTTGCTTCTTTGAACAATAGGGGGTTGAAAAAGCATATTGCGGCTAGGCATAATGGTGTCGTGGTATATAAAAAAATTACACCAAGGAAAGTAGGAAAAACGAAACACAAATGCTCTATTTGTGGGTACGAAACACACAATGGATCTTATATGAAACTGCACTTGAGAAAGCACCAACAACCATCTGAAGTGGAGATGCATAAGTGTAATCAGTGTTCTTTCGAAACTAAATGGGCAATTTGTTTCAAACAGCACCAAAACATCCACAAGGATCCATCAGAAGTTAGGATGTACCAGTGTCCCATGTGCACATTCAAAACAATACACAGAAGAAGTATACTGAGACATAAACAAGTACGGCACAACTTCGCGACTAAATCCTATAAATGCAAAAAATGCAACTTCCAAACAAAATGGTCGAATAGCATGAGGAATCATCAAGTAGTGCATGCCAGCCTCGTCTACAATTGCACAAAATGTTCATTTCAAACAAGATATCCGAGGAGCCTCCGGAATCATCTCCGTGACCGACATAATTCCGAAGCAGAAAGCCATAACAGTGAAATAGTGCCACAAGCAAATAGGGTTCAATGTGCAGAATGTATGCAATCGTTCAAAAGCAAAGAAACCCTTATCAGACATTTCCAACACATTCATAGAAAAGATACTTTACCAGTCTATAGATGTGACGAGTGTCCCTACGTTACCAATTATAGCACCTGTATAAAAGTCCATAAAATTATGCATACGGATTCGGAGTCCCTAAACTTGTTTGAATGCAAATTTTGTATTTTCAAAACTAAATACAAAAGATGCCTTAAAAACCACATAAGTAGCAAGCATGAATGAAACGAATTCAGAAAGATAGAACTGTGGTGTGGAATTAATCTGAAAGTTTTCTAAACATCCTTCACCATGGTTCATAATTGAGTATTTGCTGTTTGGAAGGGCTTCTTTCTGACCGTGCCACATTTTGCTAGTTCCAAACTTTTGAAAGCATGAAGAATCTAATGTATTCAGATCCCACAAGTTTCAGCGATCCCACAGTATACCTAAAACCAGTAGTGTCACTTTTGTCATGAGTGGATTTGTCAGCATTTGACATTTCATACAGTTCTTAACAAGTGAATAATAGATATAAACTGCTCAACAGTAAAGTAAATTTCATACATAATTAAATGGGTGTTTTAAAGTAATGTAGAGTAATATGAAACACTTTGAATTTTTCATTCAAATTGTTACAAGTGTACTCTCTCCTTGTCTAATTGGTTAAAATTTTGCAATCGATTTGAAAATAAGTTATCAAGGAACTAATGGGACTTGCAACTTCAAACATAGCTCAGAACTGGATGAAATGCAATATTTTTGCATACTGTATAAATAATATAAAACGTATAAAATCGGAAAAAGTTCGTAAAGCGTGTCACAGAGTTTCTAACAAATAAAAAGAATTGATTTGCTTGTCCAACCCAACCGGGCTTCTTGAGGTGCAACAACTGAAACATACATGTACGCAGGTGGTTATTCTCAGCTAAATAAAAAATAATACATTGCACAAATAGACGCCAGATTTTCCTGCTGGTGGTTAGATTGCTCGTATTGAAACACAATTCTGCTAGTTGTAACTTGATTCTTGTTCTCTGAGGTACATTGCACAATGATTTTTTGATATAATTCAATACCCGTTATGGCACTAGAAAGGGGAGTAGTTGATCAGACAGGTGTTTGCCATAACAGCCTACATAGGGACTAGAAATGGGTGAAACATCAGTCGGCAACAACTATCGTTTCTAAAGGAGTGAAAGAGAGGAATTGTTTTGTTTTTTATAGTATTCAATGCAAGAATATTCGATACACGGTTTTTCAATAAATCTTTGATTGTATTCAAAAATAATTCAATGACTACATATAAAAAAACTGATAAAATATTCTGACAATCTGATTATTGTTGGATATGAGTATATAGGTCTTGAATACATTTATAAATATAAGTACCAACTCGTTCAATAACTTACATTTTAAAATTTGAATACTGAAATCATTACTTGCATCCCTTTACAAACTATATCCTATCGGTAACATCTTCGTTTTCTTTAAAAACAAAACAAACAAAACAAAACTTCTCTTCATCATGTTTCCACAATCGAAACGTCGTCAGTCTGAAGCCTGTTACTAAGCGTTCTACTGTTACAAATCTAGTCATTATTACTCAATTTATTTCCGAGGCATTAGATAACAATGGCCAATCCATTTTCAGACCTCTCAGAGGTCTTTTTTGTTCATTTTATTTTTCGTTTACGTTTAAGTATTGTGAATAAAATTTTATATTGTCCTGTAAATGGGTAACTGTTGGTCAATAAAGCTATTATTATTACTAAAGGCGATAGATTCCATGAAAAATTTTAGAGATGACAACGTTGCCGATTATCGAGGCAATTTACCAAAAAGTAGGGATAGTGACACTATTGGGACTTTAGCATTCTACTGCTGCGACAGTCCTTTTTTGTTGTCATTTTCAAGACTTGTTGAACGACACTAGATTTTTCTGGCCTACGAAATAGGATGATGAGTGCCTTAATGTGATTCAAATGTTTTCAAGTTTGTAAGGTAGAAAAGTAACCACCAATAATGGTGCAAATTTATTTACACCTTTTACTCGTTTGTTCTTATTCGAATATGTTTCAAAAATAGTGTATCATAATCGTAGTTTGTATTCAAGAATCATTTTTCATATGCAGGGTGATGAGTCAAAAGTTACATTTTAGTCGTTAGGTTTATAAGGCAACGTATATGTTGAGAAATTATTGAAAGACAAAACACAAGCATTACAGGAAAATCCTTAAGTCGCTCTGAGAGCGGTGCCTGTGCGAAAGTAGCGATTCACGTTGAATTATAATCGCTGGAGATCAAATGAATTTGGAAAAATGTTATCAGGAAGTTTATAAACACATTTCTCCAAATGAAAGAGTTTTTAAACAGTGAAATTCGAGGTGTACTGAGTTGAACCTCAAAACGATGAGCAAAAAGCTGAATAGCATATTTACAAGTGAGCATAAAAACATCAATTTATATCTTCAGGACACGATAATTTATTTATTTTACAAATGAGTATACTTACACTTCAACTTTGTAGTTTATATCTTGTTATAATTTTGTTATTGTTTTTATTATGTATCATTTTCTGGTTATTGACTTGTAGATTTCAAATCTATTAAAGATAATAATTGAATTAATTTTAAGCCGAATAAGAAAATTCCACATTGTCTGATGTGCAATATCACAGTCAACCAATAGTAATGAAATATGTTCCAAATACTGGACTGATTAATTTCATCAGACAATTTGGACAAAATTCACACTAGACGACAAAAATCATGTTTTTCCATACATTTTGAAAATTGATATGTAATTAAATACAGCAACAATAGATTCATTTATTTATGTCTAATTGCTCAATTTTTCATTCACATGATGCTAAGTATCATTTTTGAAATTATTATCCTATCCAATAAAGTATATTTTTGTTCAATGTTGTCAATTACTCTTTACTCCTTAAGCCCTGTCTTCCTAGCGACGCATTTTTCACGTAGCGTGCGACGTGTTACGCTCAGCTTAATACGTCTCCTCCAAAGAGATTCAATAGGACTGTTTTCCTAAAGAGCGCAACACGTTCCACGCTGACGTAATGCGCTCAACGTGTTAGAGTGTTAGACCGACTGCTTGGAGAGGAATCTATTCGGTTTCACGCTGCGCAATAGTCAGGTTTTGTCCGTCTCGGAACGTTTATTTTGTTGCGTGTAGTGTTTGCGATTTGACTGAAACTTACGAAAATAAATGTTATGGTTTCTTTCTTAATTTTATTAATCTGTCCACTTACCTCAGAGTGGTACTCTGTTTTATTTACTTGCAAGGTAAAACTTAACGACAGAAATGATGACAAAGAAAACTTAACTTAAGTATCTAAGTTTAAGCATATTAATAACACGCAATATGTATAATCAAAAAACCAATTTGAATATTTAGAAAATATATTTTAAAAACGTAAAAAATTTGTATATTAACGAACATATATAATAATTAGGTTATGTATTCTTCCACTAGAGTACATAACCTGTACAATAATACTAAATAAACATAAAGATATATATAAAAATGCACCTACTCATAGATTCACATATCAATCCTAGTACAAGATGGTTCTCATTAAACAGATACACTGACAGTCCCACCCCGTCCTCAGTCTTTAAAATAAATGAGATTTCGAATAATTGATGGATGGGAGTGAGACTGATCGTCGACTATGGCACTGGGATTTAGGGAAAGTTCAACAATACAATGACAAAATATAGCTCAATGAAAAAAAACAAATGATCCAGATAGTAACACATTATTTATATTTTTGTGAACCCAATAGAATAAACTACTCTTTCAATTAAACCAGTTCATGAATTGATATAATCCATTCAAAAATTATTTGTTATTTGCTCTGCGCAACTTTTAGATAAGTTTTATAGAGACCTGCTTTAGGACAAACATAGAATAAGCATGCAATCAGGTTGATACCTATTCGTGAATTTTGAATTTATCAAAAATAACTGGTTTATAGAATGGCGCATAAATTTCAAAAAGTTGATCAAAAAACAAAATTCACCACCTCTATGCTTTCAAGTTACTTTATTAATGTTCCTATTATAATATTGCACCATTTTTCGTAAATATTGCACACAAAAAATAAACAATTTCTAATGATGAGAACTGAATGTAAGTAAAAATAAACTCAAAACAGGTTTTCCAGCATAGTCAATATACTGACTACACTTGACTCGAGTATAAAATAAAGCAAGAAAAGTAACAAAAAACGACTATTTATATAACAATAGTCGGTGTTACAATAGATATTAATATGAACTATTATCAACTCTCACTTTGGCTTATCATACTGTTCGTGATAGAACATTGTGAAAGCCATGTGTCCAAAATCCAAGTTCAGGTGGAAGAATGAAAATAAATGAAACATTTGAAAAAATAATAAAACTGAAACTATGCAAGTATGATGTACAATGCTGAAAAATAATAATAATAGAAAGCCATTCAGTGCATCACAAAAGTTGTGAACAGGTTGATATTACTTTAAAGAACAATGGATTGATTATCGAGCCAAATTCAATGACCATTCATGTTTTTGGTTACGTGTTTTAGGTCTTAAACATAAATAATGAGATACCTTACAAAAATCAAGTCACCTGTTGTTAAAAAAAAAATGTTATAACAAACAATATCATGCAAAAAACTAAAGAAATATTGACTTCCCTGCAGTGTAGGATTAAAAGGTGCTAAAATGTTTCTTATTATCAAATGGAAATATGAAAATGGAATTGTATAAGAAATATACATAGAATTGATAAGGTCACTCGGAACTTTCACCTGTAAAGAAAAAATTACAACATAAACAATGATGTTCAATCAATACAATGGGTCGTTCAAATTTCATGGCCAGAAATAACTGTGCCAAAGCTATTTTCCGGGTTTCATGGTCTACAGGTTTTTTGACTGATGTTTCATCTACTACTACGGTAGGATAATCAAAGCCGATGAACGTAAGTAAAATCTGACTACCTGCCAGATTGTGTATAAACACAAACAAGGTCGATTGATCCAATTAAGCGAAACGAAGCGTCGCCCACCGATGACGATATAAAACCGGAGACAAACTCCAACATTGTAGTTTCTGCTTTGAGAACAACTCGAGCACCGTTTCATCTACTACCGCAGTAGTAGATGAAACGTCAGACATAAAAACCTGCAGACCATGGCCAAAAATCTCGGAAAATACCTTTGATACAACAAAAAGTTGTATTTATTTCATTATTTTCTTTTAATTCTCATTGATTTCTTTGTTAATAGTAATGTTTTGAGTAGATTATATTTCAGATATGTTGATGTATATGATAAAAAATATTCGTATATTCAAATCACTAGATGAATTAAAAACACAAGAAGACCACAAGAACTGGTGGAATAAAAATTCAATGCATTATGAGTCAACAAGGACTCAAGCCTAATCTTCCTGACTGGAAACCTATGGCCACAATACAAATAAATATGGCTGAATACGACACCTACTCCGAAAATAATTTTGGAACAGTAAAAATAATGCCAACTACCAAACAAGTAATACTTACGTATCAACGTGTTTATTTTGTTTAAAGCTATTTTGTACGGCCCTTCAGTACCATTGCCGATATTTCGCAGGATTTCCCCGGCCATCAAATCATGGCAATACTTCAACACATTTTGTTCATTATGTCGACCCACCAGCGGTATCTAAAACAATACAAATCTATAATTTCATCTGTAATTCTTTCGTATACCAGATTTACGGTCAGAGTAAACTCTTTGGTATCATTTTCTGCTTGTGTCTGCATGGGTTTCTTTGACGGCTTCTCCATTTTTCTCTTCTTGCCATGCGGCAGATTAGTGTTGGCAGTGTTATCCTTTTCATCTTTCTCTTTATCACGTTTTGGACAAGAGCATATTCTCACATTTAATGTTTTGCGTCCATAAATAGTTCCTCTAGAAAAACCAAAACAATCACTATGCTTAGTATGTGAATAGAATATGAATGGAACATACACATGGCAAACAAAAAACCATAGATCTGGAGATCACAGATCTATCAAAATTCAAATGTCTTCTGAGAGGGTCTCGAAGATTAATTGTACACCAAATTCTTAATGTATTCACTTATGACTTATAGGGTAATTCGAGGAGAGATGGGCACAGTTTTGAAAAACGAATGGTGTCACCGTTAGTATGCAGACTATTTGCTAACCTCTGTTGAAATATGTTAGTATAGAGATTATAACACACAATGTACTGCAACATTTACGTCGAAATGGATTTATTTGTGATCTATTAGGAAAAATTCTCACCCTTGTCTTTGTCCATCTCTCCTCGCCTTGCGAGGAGAGTTGGGCACCAAGAAATTTACCGGTATGGAGAGATGGGCATAGCTTTAAGTTACATTAAGCGACAATTTTTTGTGATTTTTTCGCTGGAAATCACAATTTCTACCTAATTCAATTGAATTGTATTCCTCTAGTTTTCCAATAGGCAAAGAATCGAAAGGCAATGTATGTATTCAGGTATAGGTATAATGAAAGAGAATTAACCAAAGAACAATTCAAAATGAGGCCTAAATGTGCTAGGCTGTTTTATTGAAAGAAACAAGTTACCCAAGAACATAGAAAATTCAGATAAACCGTTACTAAAACCTATCATGTTCTGATATCTTGCTGAGCTTGCCTCGATCGGATTTGACAGCACTATGACAACGTCCTCTTCATCTGCATAATTCGTCTCATCGGTTTCCTTAAATTTCATTAACATCTCTACTCTTTTATAAAATTTGACTTCCATGCCTTCTGAACTTTTACAAATTATTTTGGCAACGAACAAACGGTAGGCCATTTTTCCAGAAACTCTCACTACCACAAACGTGCCCTCTTGCAACTCTTTTGGCTCATCTTCTTTAACTTCCTCAACTTCTTCGTCCCATTCGTCAGTACCGTCGTCATGTAAGGAAATGGCCTCATCACATTCAGACTCGTCGTACTGATAAGAAAGTTTTCTTCTCCTTTTCTTCTCTTTATTTCCTTTCTCCATTGCTTGCTTTTCCTTAATTTCTCTCTTCAAAGCTCTATCCCTCTCTTTTTCTTCAACTCCCTTTTGTTTAATTCCTTTGTTAAAAGCTCTCTTTCTTTTTCTTTCTTCAACTTCCTTCTGTCTCATTTCTTTTTTTAGAGCCTTATCTTTTAGCTCGCCCTCCGCCTGCCTTATTCTTAAACTTGGGTTTCTGCGCATAAACGAATTAAACCAGGGAAAACCTGCAAGACCAGTATCCTCACTGAAGGAAGTTTTGATTTGAAGTGCCTGCGCAATCCTGAAGGCCGTTTCACGCACAGCCCTTCGGTCTGGTGCGAACCCTCTCGCTTGTAATTTTTTGATATAGTTGACAGTTTTCGTTTCCACTTCTGCGCCTAGTTGACTAGGCGGCCCTAATGAACCTTTTGATTTTATTCCACTTTCAAGTCTGTTCTGTAATGTAGTTCTGGGGATGCTATATAATTTTGCAATAGCAAGCACCCTCTGCCCGTCTCTTACTTTGGCAATGGCCTCCTGCAGAGATTTCTCGGTCCAGGAAGCTTGTGTGTTTCCCTTCCGAACATACACAGTTGGCATCTAATAGAAAAATATCAGAATATAATCTAACTCAGTTATCGAGGATAGATGGGCACCTGCCCAACTATCCTTGTGCCTTTAATGCCCATCTCTCCTTTTTGTTGAGGAGAGATGGGCACCTCGGCCATACGGTTTACATGTTCGTTAAGCGACTCCAGTTCATTCAACATTATTATCCAGCCCCATCCTAGTTATGCCAAAGCATAATTATTCAAAAAACAGTAAAAACGAAAAAGTAACACATCTTTAAAAATATGAGCGAAAAATTTTGAGACCTTATCTTGACAGTGTTTTGTGAATAATATAAAAATATAGACACAACGATTTATAAAACGACTCTACAACAATGGCCGCGCCTGCTCCTCCAACTAGCAGCGGACGAAATGTTAATAGTTCTTTAAATAACCGCTTGAGGATATTGTGCCCATCTCACCTCACTGCCCATCTCTCCTCGAATTACCCTATGTATCATTCATATTATAGTCGCCATCTGTCTCTGTATTTGAGATGTATAACCTGTAATTCTGCTTATCTTAGTGGTTTTGCTTATTTGTAGTGCTTGACTTTAATTCAAGTCTAACTATGACATTTTTAGTGTCTTCTCAAATTTTTGAAATGTATATGAATATTTATTATATTTGATGGTTAAAAAGGGGATTCCATGCAATGAATAACAAATTAAATGTAAAATGATTATAACCTAAAATATATCTATATTAACTACAAAGAGAAGAACCGCGGAAAAGTGTTTCTGGCTATAATAATAATAATAATTCGTCTTTATTATTTCCAATATTAGGTAGTTAACAGTTTTTATACGATGAAATTTTTTATTACAAAATAAAAGGCGAAGTTCAGTTTATTTTCATCGCAATAAAAATAACCTGGCCTCATCATATGCATGTATACATGTATACGTATACATGCCTAGGTGGACATGTTAGCTACACCTCGCTGATGAGGCCAATAGCCAGAAACACGTGTCTGCGGATTCCTTACAGGTAGAATTCAGTGGGTGAAAATTAATAATTATATATTACATACAATTGAAGCTTGTTCTGGTGTTCCTCAGGGTAGACACTGTGGACCATTACATTTCAATATCTTTATTGATGATCTTATTACTGACATTACTGATGATCTCAAGCTATGCCATGTTATTGAATCAAATGTTGATTGTATGAAACTTGAAGATAATGTAAACCATTTAACCAATTGGTGTAAAAATAACTGCTTGCAACTAAATTTTGACAAAAATCTAGTCACATGTTTCAATCATTCTCAGGCACCAATCACATATGAATACTGTATGAACTCTTTACCCTTGAACCAAGTCGTTGAAGTTAAAGATCTTGGTATTATATTTGATGAAAAGTTGTCATTCTTATCCCCATATTAAATCATTTGGATTTCTTTGAAAATTTTGTACTGTTCATTAATTATGTCACATTTAGAGTATGCATCCATTGTGTGGTGTCCCTCTTACTTAGTGTACAAAGTCACCGGAAAAGGTCCAAAATGAATTTTTGCATAGTGCTGCCTACAAAATGGGTATTCAAATAGACCAGCGACATAACTACACTGTTATTCTTCCTAGACTACATCTAACCATATTGGAAAACAGGCGGATTCAGGCCGACCCAACATTTCTATTTAAATGATTGTCAGGCCAAACCAATTGCCCAGAACTTCTCTTTTGGTTGGCCTGAGAGTCAAGCAAAGAGTAACTTTGCTTTTTCTTTTATTCATTTCAATATTCATATGAATTGTAACTATTTTTGAATTAAGGTATATTTTTATACATGTATATTATATAACATTTTAACTTAGGGTTTTGCCGTTTATACCGAATAAATAAAAAAATGTATATCCTGGATTCAGAAGTCACGTAGGCATACTATAGCTGCGTATAGCTATAGCTGCATATAACGAAGGCAGCTAGAAACACATGTCCGCGGCAAAATTCAAGAATCAGAATCATTTTATTCATCACAAAAGAATACACATTGTGTGGTGAAAACTACAGAATATGTAACTTATCGGACTAGTCAATTACCGGTAATTAGGTAATTCAACCTAATATACTTACTGATTATCCTCCAAAGTGAATATTATTTCCACAGCTCTTCTATTCATTCCAGGACTTGGGCAAGAATTTTTGCAAACAAATTCGAAAATTTCTCTAACACTTTCAGTACCCGTCTGCGGGATACCGAATGGTATGACAACGCTGAGACGTTCATTTTTAGACTTGTCACCTAAGTACGCAGCATACTGATTGGCACATCTTATGATATGAGGGCGAATGTGTTCCTTGAGATCTAAAAAAGTATCGATGGATTGAGTAACTTAAAGTTCTTATAAAATATAGAGGAAGTGGTAGTGGTTCAAAAATATTTAAATTTATTTTTCTCATTTGATATTACCTTCTAATGAAATTTGCAGAAGGGTCTTCATAGTTCTGAGGTTGAAATTATCATCGTGTCATTCATAGGTTTTCATAAATCTATTAGAAACATCCAAACAACTGATCGAGAAAAAATCATTTCCAAAATACTCATTCTCAATAATATGAAAATTTATTCGGTATCCTAATTTCATTAAAAGATAATACAGTAGAATAAGCAGGAACAAGGCGCATGGCTTACTTGTAAGACGTATTTCTGGTAGTTTGTTTCAGTTTCGGCAATTTATTTGAATGCGCCAAAAATCTGCAAAATGGATACTGAAACCAATGATTCACCAACTTAGAAGTAACTTTGTTTTCTAAATTACTTTGCAAATTGAACAAGTACGTCCCTGTCCACTTTCGTAATGGAACATTCGTGATTATAGATGCTACTAGAATAAATGGTGAAAACGGAAAAAGGTTCTATCGTTAGATTGAAGCAATCTTGATCAATACCTTAGATTTTTCAAAAATCAACAGAAACATTGAATGACTTCTGGGTTCACCCAGTTGAATATCCATAATAGAAGTATTATTATAAAACTTCACCCATATATTATGTTCATTTAGGTGGGAAAAAAACAACAAGAAGTAAAAATGTATGTAAATGTTTGAAGTCTGTTACAAAAAAGCCCATTTAACAAAAAAACCCCGTTATGTACATGCTTATACTTACCTCCATCAGACTCTTTATGAGAGAATTCATGGTTTAGGCACCGGTAAACACATTCTTGAGCAAATTGGGGAGCACTGTAAACGGGAGTGCTCCTGATGAATAATGGGTTCGGGGGTCGATGTGATACTCTGAAATCTACAGGAAATGGACTGCCCATTGTCATATAAACTTTATTCAGGGTGGTAGAGTACTGTAATTAAAATTACTTTATTTTACACTTGGCAGAAACAAAATCCTGTAATAATCACAAAATGAAAACCAAGAAAAATAATTTGTATTGTTTCTACACTTTGGAGGAATAAACAATCTTATATATTTATCATAGTTGAGTTATCTTCTGCAAATGAGTGACTTTATGATAAATAATTGAATTTGTATATTCATTTTCAGTTATTTTCATCGTTAAAGTTAAGTTACTAACTTAAATTTTGAAATTCTATTACAAATCACTTATACTTGGAATATTAGTTTTTTTATTTTATGCAAAAAGCGATTCCAGACGTTTTTCCTACTGATAAGTTAGGTAATTAAAATCAAAATGATAGAGCTTTAACGTAATTTGGACAAACAACAGAAAAACTGGCTTCATTTTTGAGGAAATGAGATATTAAAATTGCATATAGAACAAGTAATATGTTGGGAAAGTTAGTTAAAAATAGTAAAGACAAAATTTGACCAAATCCAAGAAATCAGGAGTATATGAATTAAAGTGCGGAACGTGTCTTGAGGTATATATTGGTCAAACTGGCTGAACATTTAGGAATCGAATCCAGGAACATCATATGAGCTATAAAAATAAGAAAACAAGTTCAACATATTCAAATCATCTTTTAGAAGAAAATTATATCTTCAACGAAGAGTTCGAAATTTTACACATAAAAAATAAAGGTTTGAAACTGAATCATTTGGAAGCAATAGAAAAATTCAAACATTCTAATGAATAACCAACTGGATTTGAATAGATCACCATTATTGAACTTGTTTTCTTAAAAAAACCGAGGAATTATTATTATTGATGTAGAAGTGAGGTAATCATAATTGAAGAAGTACCTCAGGTATATAAAAGTTGTAGAGGTTCAGGTAATTTGTTGGAGGTAGTCTCAATTGTAGTTACCTGTGGTATATAAATATTAGCGTAAGAAGCAACTTGTAGTTGAAGAAGTTACTGTGTTAACGAAACATGTCATGATATATTTATCAAATAAAGTTTGTGGAGATCAAATCATAAGCTGTAGTTTGTGAAATTACTATGGATTTTCATCAAGTAACTGCCAAATCAATCAGAAAATTTTAATGTTTAGTGTCTAAATAATCCAGAAGGCAATAATAACTGCTGCTTTTACTAGGCATGTTTGTAATTCATCTATCACTATCTATTAATGACACCCATAAAAATAAAACCAAATGAATGTTGTAAATTTTTATATCAATTCTCTATCTTACAATTTCGATTATGAAACTACTAGGAAAATATAAAAAAAATTTTCTTAAAATAAAGTTATTTGACTTACCACCCACGAATTTTTTGCCACAGTGGGATGAACATCTACTTCAAATTCATATGGACCATCGTATTCATCATTTGATGGGACACTTGTTTGTACTCCCGGAAAAATAAGATGAACCATCTTTGAATCATCATTAGCAACTATTGATCCATTTAGGATGTTTGAATACTAAAAATGAATGCAAAAAAAGAAACAAATATGAATGAATTGGAATATAAGTTATACAATATACATTTCAGATTATAAATAATTTCATATAAGTGACATTGTCTTACAAAGTATGTTTTTATTCGTGTTCTTTACTTACATTTAAATCATTCAAAGTTGGTTCGTCCTTGAAAAAGTTTAGATTATCCCTAAAAAAAAAAGGCTTTTATATGCAAAGTTTGAATATTTTTCAGTCATAGGATTTGAAAAAAAATCTAGTTCGTTCATTCCACTGAATATAAAAAAGGAATGAATAAATCAAATGTGCTGATATTATTTCATTACCTGAACATTGGCTGAATTTCCCTAGCCTTATTTCTTACTAAATTATGTTCAGAATAGAGTCCAAATATTCATAGGCTGCTTTGAAATTTTATGAGGACAGAAAAGTCAATTATGAAATTTATAACAGCCCTTTATATTTATACCAATCAATCAAAATAAGCTATACTGTCTAAGATACTATCTTATTGACAAAGCTTGTATAAATAAAGTAATCATACATATATCATATATAACATAATCATTCATTTATAATATAAGACACAATGTAACGTAACTGTATTGCATTATTTGTATTATTGTATTATTTTCATCCACTATAATGTACTTTTACCACAGTAATACAAACAATATCAATACACAAAATAAAAATGTAACTGACACTATCTGTATATGAAAGAAATTTGAGAAACAATATTATTGGAGATCTTCATTATCTCATTCACATCCAAAACAATTTCAGAATATTTGTGTGATCATCTTTGCATTTGTCCGCTAGAACAGTTAAACTGATTTGGGTACGGTTTTTACTAACGTGTTGTGGTAACCTTCACTCAACATCTAGTGTTTGATTTATTTCAATCGGTTCCAGCCAAATCAACTGAATAGTACTGCTGTTGGAAAATTTGGGAAAAACCTAAGAACTGAAGGCCACGCAACAGCATGTAGTGAATATGTGTCATGTATTACCACATGTAGCTAATACTTACATATTGTCCCCTTCCATTTCTGCCAAGAGGAAATTCTGAACATCTGGAGGTAAAAAGTCTGACTGAGAAGACATCCTGTAAATTAAATTGGCATTCTGAAGAAAATCCCTAAACACTTATTTTCATACTGAATTGAGTTAATTGTATAGTGTTAATATTTGTATTATCTAAATCTTACTTTGTTTATTGTTTTTGATGTATTTTATTCTAAATTTATACATGGATTCATATATTATATTATGTTTTGATATAGTATTTATTTAATAATCATTTATTGTAGAATTATAGCTTTGTATTGTGAATATTACGATTATTCCTATTCAATAAAGACTACTTATTTACTTACTTACTTACTACTTAGATTATTTTTGAAATTTTTAGTTGTAAAGATACCTAATTGGTCATGGGAAAGAATTCCCATCAAAACATTTGATATATTAAGTTTGTTGAATAGTTCTTGATGTGTGAATACGAAGCATTTAAAAAAAAGGTGAAACTGGAACCTCTGGCATAGAATGAATCCAAAGCAAGCACTTTCCCCAAACACCAGAACTGTAATACTCTTCTCAGTATCTTCAGGAGATAAAGTTCACTGAAGATGCCAACTTAGTTGCTGAAACGAGCGTCGACAGGAGTATTGCAGTTCTAGTGCTTGTGTCATATCTAAACATTCAACAGTTGTAATATAGGAAATGAAAATTTGTTTGAAGTGATATTTTTTGTCAAATCCAAATTTTGAGCATTATGCTTCATCATTTTCATTGTTGATGGAAATTTTCTATTTTTTGACACCATATATAATTCTTATGAAATACCTAAAAATTGAATATATTTTCAAACATACTTGAATGAAAACATCGTCTACCTCTAATAACAATCAATTTGTATTTGAACTTTTGTTTTTTCAGTAAAGATTCAGTTACATCAAAGTTACAGTAAAAGTTTCAGACTATTCATTGCTAGAGATAGAATTTGAGAACACTCACCCTTCCGGTTTTCACAGCTAAAAAAGCTATTCTGATACAATTAGAAAAAGAAAAGACAACAAAGATTTACCCGTGAAATTTTTAATTGAAAAAACAGCCCCCGAACAATAACTAAACACCGAACCCAAACAGTAATAACTACCACAAATTTTGATTTTTTTGACAGAGAACATAGACATTTGACATATTCGCAAGCATTAGAGCCAATCAAATGGAAGCAAGGCAACAGGTTTCCGCCATTTTACAAAGCAACAAGTGGACAAAACTGGTTTTAGTTTAGGCAGGTGCAAGAAACTTTCTTGATAATGGCAACTCTGTCGTCAGAGTTGCAAATATGCAAATACACTACTAAAGGATCGTTTCCATAGGTAGTGAAGAGTGAAGTTGCGATTACTTAAAAGAAAAGTCGTGATTTGATTTTTTTATATTACCAAGTTACATTTTTCAACAAAGAGACAGTGAAGGTCATAGTTATATGAAATATTATTCGCTTTCAGCGGTTGAAGACGCTTCACTGTTGAATGTGGTGCTGAGTCTAGCTATTAAAGTCGCTTCACCACTGAATATTAGAGGGTAAATGTTGAATCCAGCTGCTGGATAGAATTGAAGTTTTTTTCTTAGGTGAATGATTACACAGTTCATATTCTATCCAAATCCCTCTTCAATGAACTTTGAAGACTTGCATATTATTAAGAACTAATATAATGAAATCATAATTAGCAGAAATAATATTGCTCTTTGAAATGCGTTGAGTATATGAATATCATTCATTTCTAAACATTTTACTCAACATCTGACATAGTAGAATATCGTCTAGTGATCTGGTTGGTTTTTCATTGCTTTTTTGCTTTTTCATCCTAGACGCATCCATCGACTGTCATATATCTTGAAGTAAACTTTTGATTATCTTTTCACTTTTGACAATGCGAACTCGGCTGATTTTTCAGTATGAACAATATTTTTGTAAATAGTAGAATTTGTTGCTATGGCATAAAATGAGTCCAATAAAAATACTTTTTCGACGCATCAGCGCTGTTAACACTTTCATCAGATGAGAATCCTAATTTATTTCAATAGATTAGTTTCAAATTTCGCCAACTTAATATCGATCATATTAGTATCAATCTCTTCAATTAGGAACAATTTTTATTATGTCCCAGTTTTAGATGAATCTTAGTTAAATTTTAGGTCAGCTGTCATAAACCGATTACAAATTTTCAAATTAACATGCATTGTTTATAATACAGACAGTTGATTAGTAGATACCACCCACGAAACAAACTACATTGAAAATAGAGGTTCGATCGAAACCAACGCAGGAAGAAAGAGCATTCAATACAGATCGACCGACACGCCCTCCCAGTGAGAGTGATTGTATGGAGACGGACGACGGTTGGTTAACATAAAATCACTTTTTTACACCCTCACTTTATTATAAGCTCAAGGTCATGTTAGATGTTTTTGTTTAGGCATAATTATTTGCACAGAATAGTTTTATTCTGTGATATTTGTCCTTAGAGGCCACTGACCACCGACATAACCTATTTATGTCGATGTCAATGCCACTGACCAACGAAAGAGAAAGAAAATTAGGAGTGCTGTCTTTGTCCTAAGATCAAAATTTAAAAAATGACCTTGAAATGTTAACTGATATAACCTTACTTTATCAATGAAAGAAAATTGGGCTTATCATAATTCAAATGATTACAGAAAATAATTTGACTTTTTGACACCGATTCTTCATTATCTCACCAAACCGTTGATATATTAGCAGATTTTTACTGAAACTATTTTCATCAGGGGGCTGAGTTTACTACCGGTGCAACTTCAAAATGGGTGGAAAATACAGCAAAATGGACCCAATGGAAGTTGAGGTTCCACATATTAACAACCTTCTGAAAAGGGATGGTTATTTAAAACCATATGAAAGAGAAATAAGAAGAAGGTGAGCAAAAAATGACATTGAGAAGGTCATGCTTTTTATTACCAATATTCACTTTTTATTTTATTCATTTTTTACTGAAAATTCGTATGTGTTAATGTTCTTGGATCACTGTCATGCCATATTATTTCAAAATTATTTTAATGAGTAAATTATTAATGGTAATTTTAAAGTATTGGATGAAAAAAATCTGTTTCACTCTTTCTACAGTTTTTCATTTCTTTACAGAAAGGACACAAGCCAAAAAAGAGTATTTTCCAAGCATTATCCTCTCTACCAAGTACTTTTTCATAATAATGTATTAAATAATAGAGTATGAGATAAAGAATATATTTTTTACATTACCAATAAATTCACCTATAAGAATATCACAAGATACTTAGATTATAAATATTATCAGTAATCAATCATATTTAGAAAGTTTGAGAAAACTTTCATGTGGTCTACATTTTAAATCTTAGTAGTATGAATAATGTAATGTATTTGTAAATGAAATATATTTTATAAACAACAGTGGTTGGTAATGCATCCAATTTTATTAGTAAATTTTTTAATTCTCCATTAATAACTTTTGAAGTGAGTAACAGGTGGTCATAAGCAACCACCTGTTTTTTTTGAGTGATCTATTAACTTAGATTTGAAAAGCTTTAAAAATCATCAATAATAGTTGATGAAATTTTTGTTTGCTTTTTTAGATATGCTTGTTTCAAAGATTTTCTAGAATCTATTGAAGAGAATGGTGGTGGTTTAGAAAACTTTACTAAAGCTTATACATACTATGGGCTAAATGTCCAACCAGATAATTCCATAATATGTCGAGAATGGGCTCCAGGAGCTAAGCAAATATTTTTGACTGGTGAATTCAGTGAGTAAAAACATTAATTTCTAAGCCTTTATTGGTGAAAGACTATTCACCAACCTGTGGTTGGATTTCAGATGGTTGGAATAGAGATAGTCATCCTTATAAAAAATTAGATTATGGAAAATGGGAACTTGTGTTGCCTCCTGATCAAAATGGAATGCCTGCTATTAAACATTTGTCAGAAATAAAGGTAATATATTGTGAGTCTTATATGCATTAAGTTCTAGATTTTGAGTATTAAAGGATACCAAATACCGAAACAGTTTTTTCAATCAGTATTTTTTACCAGGTCGTCGTTGAAAATCATGAGGGCTGTAAACTGGATAGATTGTCCCCATTTGCAAAATATGTGGTGGAACCTCCAAAATCTGAAGGAACAATCTATAAACAAAAATTCTGGAATCCTCCACAATCTGAAGTAAGTGAATCATTCATATAAGCCGTAAATAATACATTATTTAATGTATGTAATATAAATATCTATTGTTGAGACCAATACTCTCTTACCTTTATATGAATTGCAACATTCAAAGGAAGTGATTTATAGAAAATGATACGAGGATATATTGAAAAATTCTTAGCCTATGATGGAAGCAAATTAAGTACAAGCACTGATTGAATGTCTGGCTTGGGGATCCATTTTACAGAAATTTTTCTCATTTCAACACAAAAACAAGTCTTCCTGATCTGTCTTCATCTTCAATGGGAATTTTGTATTTTTTTTAATCTGGCAATCCAATTTTTCAGGGTCGTTGCATATGAAGGACATCGATTGCTAAGAATTCACACGATTTCTGTCGAAATATTTTTTTTAAATTTTATTGCGCATTCTGATTGATGTAAAACTCTGCACTGACACTTTCAGTAAGTTATTCTTCATTGCTATGGAAATAGAATATTTTGTTATAAAACTGGTCTACTTTGATATCAATACAATCTCGTATACATACCTAAAAAACAATAAACTCATTTCTAATATTCATGCGGGCTCTAAGTTTATGAAATACTATATACATCTATTATTTTGCACTGAAACGGTATATTTCAGAGATACATTTTCAAAAATAATAAAGTTCCTCGTCCAAAGAGCTTGAGAATCTACGAATGCCATGTTGGAATAGCTACATCAGAACTAAAAGTTGGCACTTATGATAATTTCACAGACAATGTTTTACCAAGAATTGTTAAACAAGGTGAGAATAAGCAATTGCAATATATTCTTCAATGATGACGCTCAGAATGATTTCAATTTAACTTAAACCCTACAAGAATCGTTATGTTTCATCTTTATTTTTTGTAGGATATAATTGTATTCAGTTAATGGCAGTCATGGAGCACGCTTATTATGCTAGTTTTGGTTATCAAGTAACCAGTTTTTATGCAGTATCAAGCAGGTATGGAACACCAGATCAACTCAAGAGACTAGTGGATAGGGCTCATGAGTTGGGCTTGGTAGTTTTATTGGATTTGGTTCACTCTCATGCCAGTAAAAACGTGATGGATGGTCTAAATCAATTTGATGGAACAGATGCAGGTATGCACTTTTAGAGAAAGCAACAAAAGCTACTAATTCTTGTCTTGGACATTACCTTAACCTGTTAACCCTGCGAAATCAGAAATATCTCTTCATACGAAAGTTACAAACTGAACTTGTCAAACTTTATGGGATGACACTGTAAAGACCTCAGAAGGCTTATTCTTCCAGATTTTTGTCTGAAAGTTACTTCTTTGCATGATATTCACATCTATGTATACAGTTGCTTCTTTTAAAATTGATTACTTCCTTCCTTTCTTTGGAAGATTCCCACTTTTTTCTGTATCAAAATGGAGCAGTAGAAAACCAAAAACTTTCTTTCCCAAAAATCAGTCACTCCTAAAAATATAACCTTTTCAAATTAGAAAATTACAATGCTGATAAATCAAATGGGAACGGGATAGCATGTAATTTCAGTATAGATTTCAACAAATTTTCGAATGGAAGAGAAGAATTACTTTGAGTGGATGACTCTAGTATTGTTTCACAAGATACAAGAGTAACGACAAGATCTAGTTTTTCGAATATGGAAGCAAATACAAAGCCTGTAGATATCATCATCTGAGATCACAGATCAATATCAGTTGAAATTTTTTCCATACCAGCAGTAATCGGGAAATGAATATGAAAATTTTTTGAATACACCACAATTCTTCAATTCTTTTCCAATAAAAAAAAACTTCTAGCTGAAACTTTAAATTTCTGGTAGCGATGAAGTTAGATAATCTAGTATTCAGCTGAAAGATCTCTATAATCTCGAAAAATACCCGAATGTAAAGAATCTTTATTTTTTTCAATGAAAATCAAAATCAACTTGTTGATGCTAGTAAGCGAAATCATTACAAAAAACCTTGTGTTAGCCTTAGATTGAATGTAATCAAGTAGATTTTGTTCAATGGTTTACTTATGAGGCATTATGAATTAAATCAACTGCTTTGAAATGGTTAGAAAGCTACCTGAGTGATAGAAAGCAGATTGTGAAAGTAAATAACCATTTTTCTACTACAAGGCAGATAAACAAAGGTGTCCCACAAGGTAGTGTAATTGGACCTCTACTATTTATACTATACATGAATGACATCAACTGCTCTGTTAATTGTGAATTTATTAATCTTTATGTGAATGACAAAATGGTTTAGACTTTCCCGGCTGAGGTTTTCAGTGTCATTATTTTTTGAATTTGAAAGCCGTGGATTTTTGGAATTTCTTCCAAATTCTAAAAATCCACGGCTTTCAAACTCGAAAAATAATGACACTGTATTGTGAATATTAGGATTATTCCTATTCAATAAAGACTTCTTACTTACTTACTTTCACTGTTTAGAGCCTTTGGTGTAGTAATGAATATTACTGGAGTTTTATCCCAAAACCAAATTGTTATGTTAACACCTCGACACGTGTTTCGATCATCAAGTGATCATCTTCAAGAGGAAAATTAAACTAAATTTAACGAAGGATATTTAACCCTATTTTTCATCGTCACAATCAATCAATCAATCAATTTATTCATTGTAAATGAAACATTACAACGTCGTTATTTCCTTAGTATTAAAATTAAAATTAAAATACATATACACAGAGATGCACAGATCAAAATAAAATAAATAAATACATACAAAATTATCATGCACATGTAAACCTACAAGAGATGTAGTACATGTATTATTCATTTATAAAATCTTCTATTGAATAGAAACATTTTTCTATTAGGACATTTTTCAGCCAGATGGAGAATTCATTCGAGTGTTTCTTTTTTGCAAAGTCTGGAATTTTATTATATAATTNGAGCACAGCCTGTGGGACTCCAGACTCTTTAATTACTCTGAATTCGAAGTTTTGCGTTTTCTCCTCTCCAACATTCGCTGGTATATGGAGGAATACCAGTTTGACGGATTCCGATTCGATGGAGTCACTTCGATGTTGTATCATTCAAGAGGAATTGGGCAGGGTTTCGGTGGTAGCTATGATGATTATTTCGATATGGGTGTTGACACTGAAGGAGTGGTATACCTGATGTTGGCAAATTATACAGCTCACACTCTTAATAAGGATGCAATTACTATTGCTGAAGATGTATCTGGTATGCCTGGTACTTGCCGTCCTGTCACCGAGGGGTGCTTGGGATTTGATTATAGGTAAGTCTATAATAGTACTTAACAAAGATACAAGACTTTTTTCGGTTTTTTTTTTCTCAACATATCCTACACACAGATGCTGAGGTTAGACGTGTTCTCAAGTATCTGCTATTTTCGATTGTTAAAACGAAAAGATGGAAAAATTTGAATCAGATTTTGCATGAAAAGTAAAATTGAGTCTAACAAAGTATGTGAAATGTTAACATAGAACTATGAATACTCTGCAATGAGTAAAACAAGAAGTTGCGANTCAACAACGTATTGCTATAATATACTTCTTGAGACGCCATTTTCTGCCCTTCAATACCAATTTTCAAAATGTTTCTTGATCGTTGTTTAAGTTTAGAAAAAATGAATGTGCTACCACCAGTGCACAAGTGAAAAAACAGGATCTCAAGAGTGAATTATCTCATTAATTCAATATGCTAATCGAAGTAAATGGAACATGTCTGTAAACTTTCTAGGAAAGACTCTAGTAGAAGATAAACCACAGTGACAGTAACATGAGTTTATTATGATGAAAGGTGAACATTGAAATATATTGAAATACCCTATATTTGCAATGTTATCGATAGTAACTGCATAGGAAATTCTTATTGACATTGACATTTGACATATTACAATGGGAAGCAATACAAGCAGCACAAGATCCCTTCTTTGTTTAAAAAAGAGCATCGAGAGCTATTATAAAATGACGAATAGACTCACTTGCAAACCTTTATCCAAACCATTAGCCTTTTTTCATTAACTAGTAGCAGTATGAAGTTTGTCATATTTGCAAAAGAAGAAACACACTCCCGAAGTATTATGATGTATACACACATAAAATTAGATCTAGCAACTTAATCTACCTCGACTTGGCAATCTTGATCTGGAAAATAGGTACAAAAGCATATAATAAGTTGCCAGAGAATATTAGAAATGTGATGACACTCTTTAGATTCTGAATCACCATTAACAAATTCATGCCAATAAAATTGTTTCATGGTCTAAGTTTTTCAATATGTAATAATACTGAATTACGTATGTCCTGTTATTCACTTTTATAATTTGTGATTGTGCAGTCGAATAGTTAGTTTTTGTTGTGAAATATCCCCTGGAAAATTAACGTTGGACGACGCTGGTTTTCTCCTATCGGCTGCGACTTGGTCTAGGTCGCCGTCAGCCTCAATTGTGTCATTCTCCAAATTTCTGGAGCGCCTCGTCTGCTTAAGACGTGGCGAACATCTACATTTTGTATTCCACTCACTTTTTTACCGTTGCTACATTTTTTCAGGTTGATGGACAAGGAAATGTATACACATATGAGCACCATGTCGGAACCTTCTACAATCATCGACAGGGGAATAGCTTTGCACAAACTCATCCGCTTCGTGACACACGGCTTGGGCGGAGAGGCCTACTTAAATTTCATCGGAAACGAATTCGGACATCCCGAGTGGTTGGATTTTCCAAGGGAAGGTAACAACAGCTCCTATCACTACGCCAGGAGGCAGTGGAACTTGGTAGATGACGACTCACTGAAGTACAAGTACCTGAATGAGTGGGATGCGGCTATGAACCATACTGAGAGTAAATATGGTTGGTTAGCTGCCGATCCCGCATATGTCAGCACAAAACATGAGAGTGATAAAATCATAGCATTCGAGAGAGCGGGTCTGCTGTTTGTCTTCAACTTCCATCCAACTAAGAGCTTCGCTGATTACAGGGTGGGGATTGAAGTACCGGGGGAATATCAAATTGTATTGAGTTCCGATGACAAAATTTTTGGAGGTTTCGACAGAATCAATAAATCGGTGACTTTTTTCACGCATCCCGAAGAATTTGCTGGAAGGAGAAACTACATTCAGGTATATATTATTTCGATTGTGTTCCACTTAATGTAATAATGCATCAGTGTTTCGAACATTGTTAAGTCATTTTTAATTTTTATGAAGTATGTCACGTCAACACTATACCATATCTTTTCTTAGTTTATCTGTAATCGAGAACTAGTAAACATTTCATGATTCTATCATTACTAGTGCTGACCTTTATTGTCTAAATATGCAACAACTTTTCCATAATAATCACACTTCTTACAGATACACTGAAAAAATGTTCTCGAAGCATCAAATAATCTAATAACCACACAGAAGTATAAATAACAACAACTGAATTTTGAAATAATTATGTTCATGGATTTCAAGGTGAACATCCAGTGAAAGCAGATTATTCAACTCAACATGTTTATGGCCCAAATAGAAGGATATTTTTTGGTCCGTCAGGCACGTTCATTTTTCTATATGGTCACCTTTCAATGGTCTGATTTCATTATTAATAATCACAAAAATTAGATGTTACAAATTTTTTCCCCTAAAAAAACACGTGGAATTGTATTGTTCATCGATGTATCATTTGTTTCGCGTCTACCTACAGAAATTTTTTTGAAAACATTTTTGTTGAAGTACCATTAAAACACCTTTCCGAATTTTTTATTCAGCTCATGTTCAGTAGGTTATATATACACACATCGGAAAAGTCTAGGGATATTTTTATAACATACTAAATATCATAAAAATAAATACATGAAGTCGTTTAATTTCGATTAAATTGATACACTCGACCACCCTGTAGATTTCTATGGGTTGAACAAAGCCTGCAAAAACGGTAACTAATCTTTTATCAAGTTTTTTACAAACTGTAGGTTTTCGGCTAAAATGAATAATCTGAAAGTGTCNGAAAAATATTTCAGTGTAGGTTTCCAGGGATGGTGAAATATGTTAAGTTGCTTTTCCAGGTGTTCATATGTTGTATATTCTTTAAAGGTCAACAGTTTGCCATCTTGTTAGATAGTATTATCGAGACTTGTTGTCAATCGTTCTTCATGAGTTACGTGTCACCAGCTGGCAGTACATAGTGTCTAAACACGTCTTGAATGATGAGAGCTGTACGTGAGATCACAGGGCTCAAGGACGACCTTAGCCCATGTAGCGTTCGTGTGCAATCGATACCCTGGGGCCCTCTTATATCAAAATGGACGGTTAAAATGAAATAGGTTGTTACAATACATCTGACAAAACTCCGAATCTCATTGGAATCCATTAACGAGTGAAAGAAAATATTGACGAATTAGAGTCTCTAAGGTTTTACAAGAAAAAACTATATTTGCATCTTTGGGAAGTGCCCTGGAAAATTTACATACATTTTGTTGATTTAGTAAGGATTAGGGTTTGTTTCGTGTTGGAATGAAAGAGACCTACGTCAGTCTAGGTCATGATGGTAACAAGAAATATTAATAATGATGAAGTAAGCCTTTATTTCAATTGAACATTCTGCAGGAAACCGGATTGCCATTGACATTATATATTTTGCAAATATTCTTTTATAATGATTAGTAAAATGTAATTTCTTAATGAAAATGCTTATTTTTCAGGTATACATTCCTTCAAGAACTGCAATTTTACTTGCCAAAAAATAGTACTCCAGAGGCTGTCGAATTTCTGAGCATATTACTGAATAACGATTAAAAAAACTAGAAAGACAATGAATAGTGTCATAAATGCACCTGGTGGGTGCTTTTATGACACTATGAATTTAATGCCTTGTTAAAATTAAGAAAAAACTAGAACAGAAAATTAACATCTTCAAAATTAGTCTCTGAATTGTTTTGTTATTCATGTTGTTGATATTGTTTTTGTATATAATATTTTGTACACTTAGCCAAGAAAACTGTATTTTGTTGTGGTTGATTGAAATGAATATAAAAAATATTTTCATACATCTCATTTTTTTCCCAATATTATATTTTTATATCAACAATGATATTCAAATATTTTCTGCGTGTGGCAATTACTGTGTTTGTTCATGAAGGTTTCATAACAAATGTGAAAAAATAACTGAATAACTGAAGACCCAAATAAGTTTAATAGTGCAGAAAAATGATATACATGTAACTCGTTTCATATGACGTTTGTTAAAAAATAAGGTCGTCCTTTGATGGGTCTTCTCAAGCTTGGGATCAGGTAGAAGTCGCAAGGGGAAAATCTGCCCCCTCCCCAGTAACAAATTTCCTAACACAGGTGTGACTCGGTGAAGTTAGCATTTCTTGCTGAATGGTATCCAACTGAATTGGATATAAATCTTATGTACTTGTGATGCACTGTTTGGAACCTTTGGTGTAGTGATGAATATTACTGAAGTTTCATTCAACCACCAAACCAGTAACTTCAACACCTGGCAAAGCAGCCTCTTGGAAGCTCATTACACAACTGGCTGATATGCCATCCAAAGTTCAATTTAGTGTCCTAAGAANTTCATCGAGAAGGAACAGCACTGGCCGAAGTATGTAAGTATTTATCTAGCTTGTAAGTAATTTGCGGGATAAGCGCCTAACAAAACTAAAAATTAATACAAGTACAATAATATACTGTATAAGTTATAATCAAAGATAACGATATTCTATAAGAAGGTAAGTATACTTTATTTTACTCGAATTAATACTCTATTCTGTGCACAAAAACTTTTAGTACCTATTCATTTAAGTAGGTACGTTACAAGCTTGTTTTTCAATTTGTGTTCACTATTATTTTATGCTATTTGGCCAAAAATTTCAAATATGCAACAGTCTACAACTATCTTAAGCACAATTTGTATCTCAATAAAAAAAATATTCTTTCCAGACTTTATGAAGTCTTAAATATTGAATTTTCATTTTTCATTTAGTTCGTCATACAAGTTTCATTAGTGGAATTCAGTTTGTTCAGGAAAAGGTAGGTACTATAAATTATCA